GGCATGAGAACGTGAAGAAGCAGCATTCATGGCGGTAGAGCCCACAGTACGAGCAGAGTTCCCCTGCTCCAGGCAACCAACCATCTCCTGAGCAGACATCACCTGTCTTTCAGTTAGGCCCACGATCTGCAAAACAATTTCATATAAGAAAACACCAGGACAGTAATGATGGTAAAGGAAATGGCTACACCACTGACCTTGATACCATCTTTGGGGTCTTCTCGAATGCTGAGGGCTGGTTTGTCTTTAGATGTTGAAAGTAAGTCAAGAATCTCTTCATTATAGATCTATTACAAAAATAGATATAAAGACACAATTTTTCAAGCTGAACTTATTGAATGAACAGTGTACAATTAACAAACCTCAAGGTAGGATACAGCAAGGCAAAATTCACACTCTGTGGCATTTTCCTTTTCATCAAAGATTTTTCTAATAACTCGAGGAATCACTCCAACAGAAGGGTCATTCTCTTGAGCTGCTGTGTATGTTCCTCCCATAGAGTACGTTTTCCCTGATCCAGTTTGCCCATAGGCGAGCACTGTGGCATGGTAGCCTAAAAGAAATCAGATTCTAACTAAATACTTGTTTGAAGGGTTGTTTTCAAGTAAATGGACATGAGGTTTTATAAAACGCATGAAACATTAAATAAACATAAACCCACCTTTGAAGAGACCAGACAGTAACGAGGACACAGCTGATTTGAAAACCTCTTCTTGTTCGACAGTTGGATCAAATACATAATCGTATGTGAACGCCTTTTCTGTCCCAACAACGACCTAAAATGCACAATAGTTGATGATCAAGACCCCATAACGTGTATTATACAGTACTGTTACAGCACAGACCTGGGGCTCTCCGGGCACAAAGGTTAGGCAACTCTGACATCCTTCATTGATTTCTTTGGGCACCAAAGGCCGACAGCGCAAGGCAACCCGGACAGGGATCACCTTTACATCCTCACTCAACATGATGAGCTACTAACAATCTACCAGTAAAGAAAAACAAAACAGTAACTATTAGACAAATGAAACCACACATACAAATTACACCGCACCAAAAGTAGGCCTGTGTTTGTGTTAGAATCCTGAAGACGCTGAGAATTAGTTTGCTTTAACTTAGCTTCGTAGTGTGAATAGACACTGTCAATCATAACTACGTCAAACTCAACATTAACAGCGGTTTGAAGTTTCTTATTTATTCATTTAAAGAGATATTTCAATACAAGACAAAACTCGGACAACTACGCGGTTTGTATATCGACGTTACTGAATGAATGCGCTGTTAACGTAGCCTACCTCTCTGTTTTCTTTCCTCCAAAACGAGCATATGTATTTCCACACACTTGTGCAATCGTATGTAGTGGACTGTTCATAAAACGATCAAACTAAAATACCCTTTGTGAGAAATGTACAGTATAATCCTCCAGTAAAAACTCAGGAGAGCTGTAGACATCAATGGTTTCGCTGCCCGCCACTTTCAAACACAAACTCCGCCCAACTTCCGCCTTGCTCCTCGCTGGTCTGTTTTTGTGTCACAGAAGCTCAGTCATTACCGCCACCTGTCGGACCGGATACACGCTTCGATAAAATTAATAAAGAAACCCTAACACATATTTCAATTAATTACAATAAATTAAATCAATTAATTACTAATAAAATCTGAGTGATTAAAATAAATACTATTTTAAGGTACAACCGAATTTCCTTTCATCAGTAAAGTCAATCTATCTTTCTATCTATCTATCTATCTATCTATCTATCTATCTATCTATCTATCTATCTATCTATCTATCTATCTATCTATCAATACACAGACTATTAAAAATAAGATAAACTTTGTTTGTCCCACAATTGGAACATTTCAATTGAAATGCAAAGTCTAGGAACAGCGGCAGAATAGGCATATGCTAAACAAAAATGAAGAACAAATAGACTTATAGCTAACAATTTAAGATGCATATTAGAAATACTTTGAATAGAGCTAAAGCTGTTTTTAGCCAACTGTTTTTGTTACACAGGGCTTGCATCTCCACAAATCTGACTGGCCCTCCTCCTAATTTTTTCCGATGGAAATTGTGTTCCTTTGGCTATAATCTTCCACAGTATTGCATAAACCTTATCTATCTCCCCTGAGAATGTATCAGCATGTTAGGGGCTACAACACTGTGCAATTAGGCTAGAGTAAAAATATAGGTAAGTAATGTAAGTGGCTCTGACTATGGTACCTACAGCATACAAGAAAAAAAAAAGCAAGTTATTTGAGTGTATTGTACCAGAGATGATTCATATTATGTGTACTGGTGCACTATCAAAGTAGCCCTGTTTCGTTCTGAGCTGTTCTGAGTGAGGGAGGTGAGGGACAGGAGGGTCTTGCTAATCTCACATCTACTGGACCATGAGTCCTACCCAGAGCAGCTTCATCCTTATCAGGGTTTCTGGTCTTTCCTTCCTGCTGATCTCAGACTGCACAGTGAACACAGCCCTGTATATGTGTCATTCACCTAGTAATCATGTGCAATACTTACGTGAATCACAGTACAGTTCACTGAAGTCACTTTACTTTATTCCATATATAGGATACATAACCATAGGCTATACTAGTTTACAGTTTGTTTGGTTTTGTGTGTGTGTGTCTCGCCATTAAAAGTAGCATATTTTCTAATTGTAACCCTATTTCCCCATTCCTCAAAGCATGAGCAAATTGTGCCATTAATTCACACACCAGAGATGTGACTCTTACATGTACATCAATAAAAAGCTATAAAAAAGCATAAAAAGCTTGTTTTAAAGAAACACATTTTGAGACTTCGTAGCAGAGAAATCTTAATTCAGTAAACTTTGTTCAGCCTAATATTATTTCATTAAACCTACAAAACTAGCGTATATGAAACAATACAAAGGAAAAAATAATATATGTCTTAGAGTATCTCCTTCATTCAAAAGACTAAATGACTCTAAAATGAGACTAAAATGATCTGGGGGAATCTGCTGTTGTTTTAAGGGATTATATTGAATAGGCCTATAAAACTCAATGGCATATTGAACATATGATTCTTAAAAGTCATTAAAAGCAGTCGTCTTTTTGTACCAGCAAAGAATTTTCCGGTGTACCGAGGTCTACCACAGTAGTTATAATAAAGGAGTTACCATAAGATGACTAAAATATGAAGAAAAAAAAAAGAAAAGAAAAGAAAAAGAAAATCTAAACTAAGGAAATGCACATGACTTGTCAACAGAACAGAAGGCAAGCTCGATAGGCTTCCAATGGAACAAGTGAGTGATAGAGTAATGATATTTAATAGATCCAGGAAGGTAACCATGAAAGTATCCATAACAAAAGGTTTTCCTCATGGAAGTATTTATAGAAGTCTATCTATCTAGTCGATAATAAGATCTATAGAAGGATTTCCTCGATTGTTTTATTCAGTTAGCTTTCACGCCGATGCGTCCAGCGTCACGGGCACGCATGGTTTCAGAGAGAACATTTTTTATATTCCAAATGTGATTCCCCGATAAGCTACGCATTATGTGCAAAGAGTTGACGCAACCCTTTCCTGAATCCGAATCCGACGTGTCGAAGACTGCGATGCCTGTGCCCACAGACTGCTCACAGGGCTTTACCCGAACCTAGTAGCAGCTGAGAGACCGGTGCGGAGCGAGGGTTTCTGAACCCGGAGGATTTCTCACGACCCTCGGACGAAAATACTCTTCTAAATGTACCCCTTTTACGTGGATGACAACCTCCAAACAACCCTACAGTGAAAACTTTCAGCTCAGCATCTGACGTGGGGGTGTAATTGAGATTTAAGCAGGTCCAAGAGCTGGCATGATGCAGGTGCAAACTGGGCTAACGTTTGTGAAATGACGCGGTTTATTGTGCCATGCCAACTCCGCATTGTCAGATGCCATTTTCCTCTGCTTTATACCAGCGCCTCGAATGCCAACAAAGTGGGCCTGCTGTAGTGTAATTAGAAGTTCATAAGGCTGTAGCAAACTGGTGCAATGAGAGACTACGCTGTCCAAGTAGTGCGCAGATTGGGCTGAAGCCTATGGGTCCTGCGAACTGGAGCTCCAGACTTCCACTTGGAGAGGTGTGCAGCGGGGCTTCAGCGCACTGCTGTCGGCTTCACATCTGGACCGCCTGCCTGCTGTCATCTGCGGCCTGCCTGAATATTGCACTCTCTGAACTTGGTTGTTTTTAAGGGACCGACAACCTTGTTATTGGGTTAAGGAATAGGGAGGAAGATTCGGCTAGGTCAGGACTGAAACGCCGTGGTCCGGAGCTGCACTGGGCTGACGCTACCCCTCTGACCAAAACGCATGAGCTATGAGTACTGCTTAGCGTGCTCACGCATTTGGGCAGCGCAGGCGTGACATTGCAGTTCTCTCGCTATATTGGTTATTTAGTCAGACATAAAATAGCGTGAAAGTGGAGTATTGTCCGTCATACGTCTCAGCGCAGTGGGATTTGTACGTCTGGTCGGCGTTGCCCCCCGCCCTTCCCGCGGTGACGGTGATGGGTCGGAAGCGGTGTGTCGGTGCAGATTGTTCCAAGATGGCGGCCGGGTGCTGCGGGGTGAAGAAGCAGAAACTGTCGGGATCTCCCGGGTCGGGGGGTCCTGGCGGGGTGGGGGCGGGGAGCGGGGCTCTGACAGGAACCGGACATTGTGGCTCTGACTTGGGCATTGGCTCCTCGGCGACAGTAGCAGCGGCAGCGGGCAGTGTGAGCAGAGCGAACGGCCTGGGGGGAGCCGGGGGCAGTGTGAGCGGTGTTGGTAGTAGCAGCGGTAACAGCGGCGGCACAAGCACTCTGTCCCCAGCCCCGGCCGGGTACTCCTCATCCGGTCTCTCCCCAAGCCTCAGCCCAGGCTCGGGAAGTGGAGGCAGAAAGATGGTCGTCTCAGCGGAGATGTGCTGCTTCTGTTTTGACGTGCTTTATTGCCATCTTTACGGATACCAGCCCCCGAGAACACCCAGGTTTACAAACGATCCCTAGTGAGTATTAAATGTGCTCTTTTGTTGTTACTTCTGCACAGCAAAGCTCTGTGCTAAGAGACCCACAATGCCACCATAGGCGATACTCTCTTCTTATTTTAGTTCTGTATTCCCCCACAAGATACACAGTCATGGCAAACCGATAATATTCTGCAAAGAAATAAAATTGCCATAACTAGTTTATTTTGAATTGACAATCCGGGGCCTTCTCAAAGAGGAGCTTGTCCAGGCCTGGAAGTACCCTAGCAGAAAGCTAAATGTTATTGCCATTATGTGTTGTACTGACATGATTTTCTTTGCATTGATCGTGGTTGATCGACATCTGTATCTGGAGTTTGTTAAGCCTAAACAGACTTTAACACTGACTTAATGTCCGAAAACCATCGGTTGACTAACCACACTCGGAGCTAATTGCTATTAGAAGCTAACTGCTACCCCAAGTAGAAAAAGGGTGGACCAGATAAGATAACATCGCTCACAATGATAGCTTTACACGTGCAGCCCCTGTTTCCCAACAAGACAAAATAAATGTCCGACATACAAACTTATGATGTTGTCATCGATGGTTTAAGTTTTAATAGTTGGTTTCAATGAACTTTGTATGGCCACACTCGGCTAGCTGTGTAGGCTAGGTCTGCTAAGGGCCCTCTCGGTAGATGCCAGTTAATATTTAATTTAAGCCTTTTTTCTTGTACTTGTATGTCTCCTCACATGCATATTCACATATTCATTTGATCAGTCCTAAAGCTTGCAATGTCACTTGGCACAGAGAAATGACAACCAGACAAGGCTTTTTGGTTGATTAAAAAAATAAATCGGCCCGTCATAGCATCTATTAACAAAGAAATGCTAAGCTTCGCTATTTCCCTCGGCTCTGTGCGAGTTCCTGGGGATGAGAAATAGGTTGGTGACCATAAACACACTATTTGTGTAAAGGTCAAGTTAGCTCTTATATACATTAACACGCAGTTTGTGGCATTTAATTGTAAGGTTGCGCTTTTATTTTGGTGACTTCCGGTGTGAACGGAAGTGAAGGAAAAAACGTTAGCTTGTTATAAAGAAACGACGCACAGTAAACACGGTAACGTTAATAGTGAAAATCAAAACAACGGAGAAAAGTTATATACAACAAAGTAAAGATCGACAGTCGACAGAGGAACAAGGTTTGTTTGACTTGGTAATGTATATTTGAACTTCTTGTCACTTGTATCAAATTAATGTTAAATATGGATAATGATTAAGCAATGTAATGACCTAGTGATGCTGTAATCGTATGGTAATTGCTGTTATTTTGTTCTTGTCTAGTTCTTGCGTTGGTTCTATGACACGGCAAGAAAAGATTAAAAGTCATTTAACCATCAGTTCAGGCCTTCTCAGTTCGATTGGATGCTACAGTAAGAGCTTGACCACCGCCACTTCGCTGTACCACGACGGGTCATGGTTTCACAGTAACTCCCGCAACGTCCAGCAGGTGGCAGCAGATGGTCAGAAGACAAAACGGTTAACGGTATAAGGAAATTAAAGAGGAAAATGGAGAATATACAAGACGAAAATCTAACAGACATTAATGAACAAATGTTAAGTGAGCAAAATAAGATTCAGAGTACACCAATACCACGACGTTCTGAAAGAGAAAAAATGCCAACCGCAAAAATGGCTGCTTATCAAAGGGAAGAAATTAGTAAAAAGGAAAAGAGACTCTTAACTCTGTATGAACAGTGGAAACAAGAGAAAGTTTAAAACAGGACATCTCAGAAAAGGAAATGTCAGATCTTGCAGATATATTAGAGCAAAAGAGAGATGATCTGTTAACACAATACACTGAAATGAGAGGTCACATAGCACCTTCATCTGACATAAGGAGAAAAACTGATGCATGTGAAGCAGTAACTCATGACATTGTGAAGATCATTCTGGAAAGAATTAGTAGTATTGATGGAGATTTTGATGCAGAACGTGAAGGCAAACGTTTGCATGGACTATTAAAGCATGATTACGCCCGGTCCATCTATGGTTCAACCGCAGCATCAAATCACAGCCAAAGTTCTTCCACTTCATGCCTCGCCGTGAAACGAGCCGATGCTGCAGCAGATCTTGCAGTAAAAGAAGCACAGTACAGAGCAGTACAAGAAGAAGAAAGACAAAAGGAAAGGATTAAAGCTCTAGAAGAGGAGCACATGAAACAAATGGCCATTCAAATATCAGAGTTGGAACGCTTAAGAGCTGAAAAGGAAGTTGAAGCAGCTCGTGCCAGGTTGGAAGCCTACAGCCAAGAGTTATCACAGCTCGATGATATAAAGTCAGTGAAAAGTGAACAGGTGAGCCCAGAGTACTCACCCAGAAAGACTGCCCCACCTTTTACCTTACCTGCACCAACAGCTCCCCCTAGTGTCAACCAGCTTGCACAGGCTGTGCAAGACAGCATAAAAATGAACAGACTTCCCACACCAGAGCCAACGATGTTCAGTGGCGAGCCGATAAAGTTCATTGAATGGAAATCCACTTTCACGTCTCTTATTGAACAAAATGGCATCTCAGCAGCAGACAAACTGTACTATCTCAAAAGATATGCGACCGGCCCAGCTCGTAAATGCCTTGAAGGGACTTTCTTTAGAAATGATGAAGAGGCTTATAGGGATGCCTGGAAAAAAATGAATCAAAGGTACGGCCAGCCATTTGTGATTCAAAAAGCAGTTAGAGAAAAGTTATCTAACTGGCCAAAAATACAATCTAAAGACGCCGATGGGCTAAGGGACTTTGCAGACTTTGTAAATGCATGCATGCTTGCTATGCCTCATGTAAAAGGATTACAGATACTCAACGATTGCGAAGAAAATCAGAAACTGTTACGCAAACTACCAGACTGGATAAATGCGAGATGGAACAGGCATGTGACAAAGACACTTATGGAGTGCGTATACATGCACATCAGTATCCCGGTTATTAGCCATACCCCGGTTATGTCAGTATTCGGGTTACTGCGTATACATGCACCATCAAGAAACCGGGATACTCAAAAAACCCGATCATAACCGGGTTATTGATGTGCATGTATACGCACTCATGGACGGGTGTGAGTTTCCCAGCTTGAGCGATTTTGCCTCATTCCTCTCCCTTGAAGCAGAAGTCGCATGCAACCCAGTCACCTCCATACATGCACTTCACTTCACTGAAACAAATGGTGATAGAAGAAACACAAAGGAAATCAAAAGGAATAAGGCAAGTGCATTTAACACAAACATAACTGAACAAGGTGACAATAGAGTATAGAATGAAAACACACAGTGGCTCTTCATGCATGTTGTGTCAAGAGATGCATCCTCTTCACAAGTGTCCAAACATTCTGAAAATGTCTCTAGAAAACAGAAAGGAATATGTAAAGGACAATAAGCTTTGTTATGGATGTTTGAAACCAGGGCACAGTGCTAAGGACTGCAGACGCCGCCTCAATTTGAAACTTGCCATAAAAGACACCCAACCTGTCTTCATGATGAAAATTACAGCATCGGACTGCAGAGAGAAACACAAGGTCATGAGAGCACAAACAATGCAACACAAAGTAACTCACCTGAAACAGCCACAGCCATGTCACTGAATGTAGCCAGAGCAGAGCATACAGTCACTACCTCAATGATAGTGCCAGTGTGGGTGTCAACTGCTACTAACCCACAAAAAGAAAAACTAGTCTATGCGTTACTAGACACGCAGAGTGACACGGTCTTTATCGATCAGGAAGTAACAAGTGAACTGAAGGCAGAGGTGTGCCCAGTGAAACTCAAGCTAACTACAATGATGGGTAAAAATGCAGTTGTAAGCAGCGGAAAGGTGTGTGATCTTCTTGTGAGAGGTTACAATTCAGCAACTGTGATAAGGCTTCCCATTGCTTACACAAAGAACTACATACCTGCAAACAGGGAACACATGCCGACATGTGAAACAGCCAAATTGTGGAAGCATTTGTTACCCATTGTCGATGAAGTTCCGCCGCTCCTCAGCTGTGAAGTAAGTCTTCTCATTGGTTATACCTGTCCGAGAGCTCTAGCGCCAAGACAAGTACTCCTAGGCAAAGACAATGAGCCATATGCTATTCAAACTGATTTAGGATGGATCATAGTTGGTAACTCAATGCCTGGCAATGATACAGACACAACAAGTAGTCTCTGTCACAGAGTAACCATCAAAGAAATACCCCCATCCACCCCTGCTGATGCAATATGTGCTCTAGAAAAGGACTTCAGAGAAACTGAGAGAAATGAAAAAAACTGTGTCTCAAGAAGATCTCATGTTCCTTGAGAAACTTGAAGAAGGCATAACAGAGACTGAACATGGACATTACGAAATGCCATTGCCATTCAAGGAAAGGCCGCAAATGCCCAATAACAGACAACTTGCCGAAAGCAGACTCAATCAGCTCAAACGAAAACTCATGCGGGATGAAAGATACAAAAGAGACTATGTCATGTACATGAATGACATCATCAAAAGAGGTGATGCAGAAGAGACTGATGATAATGGACCAGCAGGTGAAACGTGGTACATACCGCACCACGGCATCTATCATCCAAAGAAACCAGAGCGGCTGCGTGTGGTGTTTGACTGCTCAGCTAAACACAAAGGTACATGTCTTAATGAACATTTACTGAACGGCCCTGACGTGATTAACAATCTAACTGGTGTACTTGTGCGCTTTCGACAACATCAAATAGCTTTAATGTGTGACATAGAAAAGATGTTCCACCAGTTCAAAGTCAGTGCAAATGATCGCAACTACTTACGGTTCTTGAGGTGGTAAGATGGTGACTTTAGTAAATCACCTCAAGCATACAGGATGACAGTACATCTCTTTGGCGCTGTTTTGTCACCCGGCTGTGCAAACTATGGACTCAAATATTTAGCCAAAGAAAACAGCCTTGAGTATCCTGTAGGTGCACAGTTCATTGCCAGAGACTTTTATGTAGATGACGGAGTCACAAGTGTTGAGACAGTCAAAGATGCTGTACAGCTATCTAAAGAAGCACGTAAGCTATGTGCAAAAGGTGGACTAAGGCTACGCAAGTTCGTGTCCAACAACAGTGTTGTTCTAAACAGCATCCCAGCTTTGGAACATGCAACTGACACAAAAACAAAGGACTTAACATTCAGTGAAATACAAACAGAAAGAGCACTCGGCATTCATTGGAACATAGAAAAGGATTGTTTCACTTTCAACATTGCAATAAAAGACCAACCCCCTACCAGGCGCGGCATTTTGTCCACAGTCGCAGCAATATACGACCCCTTGGGATTCATTGCTCCATATGTGCTCAATGGCAAAAGAATCCTCCAAGAAATGTGTCGACAAGGAACAGACTGGGACAGTCCATTACCTGAACATCTCAAGCCACGGTGGGAGAGCTGGAAACAAGATCTAAATGATCTGAAAAGGTTGCAAATAAACAGATGTTATGTTCCTGTAACATTTGGACATGTCATAAAAAGGGAACTGCATCACTTTTCCGATGCAAGCACATCAGGATATGGACAATGTTCTTACTTAAGACTGATTAACAAAAACAAAGATGTTCACTGTAGCTTTATTATGGGCAAAGCGCGTGTCTCTCCCACAAAGGTCACCACTATTCCAAGGTTAGAACTGTCCGCGGCTACAGTATCTGTCACAGTAAGCAATATGCTAAAGGAAGAACTACTCTATGAAGATGTGGAGGAGTTCTTTTGGACAGACTCAAAGGTCACTTTGGGGTACATAAGTAATGAAGTTTTCACACGTTTGTCGCTAACAGAGTACAAAAGATCAACAATACCACACCACAACAATGGTTTTATGTACCTACCTGTGAAAACCCCGCTGACGTCGCATCAAGAGGCACAACAGTAAATGAGCTGCTGTCATCCAACTGGCTTACTATCAAACTTCCAATAGGAGACCCAGAGGTGAGAAAAGTGCAGACACTAAACACACAAACTTCAGAGCATAAAAGTCTCAGCGACCATCTCACCAAGTTCTCATCCTGGTCCCGTGCGGTCAGCGCTGTAGCACGTCTCAAAAGATATCTGCTCAAGGACAGATCAAGGTGACTTACTACTGTCACTGAGAGGCAAAATGCAGAAATCATAATCATTAAAGATCTTCAAAGACAAGCATACTCAAACGAAATTGTGTCACTGATCAAAGGAAAAGCATTACCAACGAACAATAAAATGCATAACTTGGATCTCTTCTTGGATAAAGACAAAGTGCTCAAGGTGGGAGGAAGGCTACTTCACTCATCGCTTCCAAACTCATTCAAACATCCGACTGTCATTCCAAGAGGACACCATATCACAAAGCTGATAATTGCTCACTGTCACGAAAGAGGTCAGTCATCAAGGAAAAGGCTTCACAATGAATGAAATAAGGTCCAGTGGCTATTGGATACCAAAACTAAGTCAGACAGTATCATCCTACATTTGGCAGTGTGTGCATTGTCGGAAACTACGCAGACTTGTGGAAGGACAAAAAATTAGTGATCTCCCCGTTGAAAGAGTTGAATGTTCTCCACCTTTCACATACTGTGGTATGGAAGTTTTCGGCCCATTCATGACCAAACAGGCAAGAAAAGAACACAAAAGGTATTGTCTCATTTTCACATGTTTCTATTCGCGAGCTGTACATGTAGAAATGTTAGAAGACCTGTCTACAGATGCTTTTATTAATGGACTAAGGTGCTTTATTGCTTTAAGAGGCTCTGTCAGACAGATAAAATGTGATCAGGGTACTAATTTTGTTGGTGCCAAAAATGAACTAAATGCAGCTCAGGATGAAATACACTGACAAACTGACATTCTTTCTTGCTGAAAAACAGTGTGATTTTGTTCTTTACACACCTCATGCTAGTCACGCAGGTGGAGTATGGGAATGGCAAATATGGACTCTGAGGAACGTTCTCAATGCCACCTTAGCTCTCATAAAAGGACGGCTCACCGACTCATCCCTCAGAACCTTCTTATACGAAGCAGCTGCAATAGTAAACAGCCGTCCACTGACAACCGACAATCTCAATGATCCAAACAGCCTGGAACCACTAATCCCAAATCACCTCGTCACTATGAAAACCACAACAGCATTGCCTCCTCCAGGACATTTTGTTAAAGAAGACTTGTATGCACAAAAACGCTGGTGTCAAGAACAATTTTGGAGCAGATGGAAGAAAGAATATCTTCACAATATCATGGTCTGGCAGCGATGGCACATGCCTAAAAGAAATATGCAGACAGGCGACGTAGTGATGGACAAGGATGAAACTCAACCGCGGGCCCAGTGGAGACTTGGTAGAGTCTTAGACACTGTAACAAACAGATTCAGATGGACTTGAAAGGTTAAAATTGCTTTTGCAGACAGAAATCTCAGCAACAAGGGTGTACGTTTGCATAAAATGTCTATAGTGGAACGCCCAGTTCATAAGTTAGTTCTACTGCTAGAAGGTTAAGAAAAGTGATGGTACACAATCTAAATGTGCTGAAATGTTGAAGTTTTTACATGTTGTTTACTTAGTTGTTATTGTTGGTTGAATTGAGAAATTATTTGTGTTTTATTTTGTGTTTGTAAACAGCAAATAATTTGGTGGGAGTGTAAAGGTCAAGTTAGCTCTTATATACATTAACACGCAGTTTATGGCATTTAATTGTAAGGTTGCGCTTTTATTTTGGTGACTTCCGGTGTGAACGGAAGTGAAGGAAAAAACGTTAGCTTGTTATAAAGAAACGATGCACAGTAAACACGGCAACGTTAATAGTGAAAATCAAAACAACGGAGAAAAGTTATATAAAACAAAGTAAAGATAGCTACAGTCGACAGGGGAACAAGGTTTGTTTGACTTGTTAATGTATATTTGAACTTCTTGTCATTTGTATCAAATTAATGTTAAATATGGATAACGGTTAAGCAATGTAATGACCTAGTGATGCTGTAATCGTATGGTAATTACTGTTATTTTGTTCTTGTCTAGTTCTTACGTTGGTTCTATGACACGGCAAGGAAAGATTAAAAGTCATTTAACCATCAGTTCTGGCCTTCTCAGTTCGACTGGATGCTACAATTTGGATGACAGGAATACTTTTCAAGTTAAAAACTTTAAAGACTCTTCCTATCTCCAAGGTGCAGTCAATATCTGGGAGACAGAGCTTTGTTTGTTTTTTGTTATCTGAAAACAGCTGATCAGTTGTTTGTTGTCCTTGTGTATATTCATAGAAATAAGCACACTTTACATTTCCTACACAACTGTTAATGAGAATTTAAATATGCAAATAGGTCTTTCACTTAAAATTACTAAATGTTCAGACCATCAGACCATAATTTTAATTGGGTTAACAACATGACCTATGACCCAATTTTTTCACTCCAGTACTTGTTGTATTTGCACACAGTCTCACAAATGTGAGGCAGTGACCTCAGTATGTCCTTAAGAAATGCATTGTCACATCACTTTACTTAGATAAGTGTAGTGGTCAGTTTTGTTGGGGTGCCTTTGGATGAGGCTTATTGTTGACATATTCTATTTATAATATTAGAGTTAAGCTAAATTTTAGTGTTCGGTTCTTAATTCTGAAGGAAACCTGACTTTAAATTACTCTTAAACCACAAACCAAGCACTTCATCTTTCTGTGTTTCAGCCCACTGTTTGTCACATGGAAAATAGGCAGAGACAAACGGTTGAGGGGTTGTATAGGTACATTTTCTGCCATGAATCTGCACTCAGGACTCAGGGAGTACACCCTTACCAGGTAAGCAATCGTTGTGACACTATTTCATTTAAACAGCACATGCATATAGTCTTATAGATTATATGCATTTGTCACAGGATTGTGCTTTGTAAGCATTGCTCTCTTGTTTTTTTGTTCATCTGAAATATAGTGCCCTTAAAGACAGCCGCTTTCCCCCAATGACAAGGGATGAGCTGCCTCGCCTCTTCTGCTCAGTGTCTCTTCTCACCAACTTTGAAGATGTCGGTGATTACCTTGACTGGGAGGTAGCACATTTTATTAAACTTATTTAATATATCTTTGGCTTTAACTCCGGAATTACATGAGATGAAATACTTCTATTCTAGGTGGGTGTTCACGGTATTAGGATAGAGTTTTTCAATGAAAAAGGATCAAAGCGCACAGCCACCTACCTACCAGAGGTTGCAAAGGAGCAAGGTGAGCTTGGTGTATTCAGTGTAATTTGTATTTATTTGTCACCGTATATGTTATTGGAAACTTGAATTTTGTTGTACAAATTCCCTTGCCAAGGTTGGGACCACATTCAAACCATAGATTCCTTACTTCGAAAGGGAGGTTACAAAGCTCCCATCACAAATGATTTCAGGAAGACCATTAAGTTAACCAGGTAAGATGCACAATAATCCATTTTAAACCTTTATTATTTTCTGTCCTCTCAAAAAAACAACCAACGGTATTTCAAAATTCTGCCAGTTTTCTGATATTTTTTGTGACCTGGTGCTACCATAGTCAGCAGCATCTCTTTACACCTTTCCTGTTCTTAGGTACCGTAGCGAGAAGATGACAATGGCTTATGCAGAATACATCGCCCACCGCCAACATCACCACTACCAGAATGGCATTGGGCACCCTCTACCACCCTACAACCATTATTCCTGACAGCGAGCCGCATGACCAATCATTGGACCTCTCCGCGGACCTTTTCCCAGGAGAGCCTGCCCCCTCCTGGTCTAGCTATTTCTACTACTGTACCATTTTATGATGATTGTTTCCGTTGCCATGCTGGCCGTCGTTAAGACAGTGACATGGCAACGGGTGGCAACAGAGCATCATCTGATCAGGCAAGAATATCTAAGTTTTTTCATTTTGGGTTTGCCTGTGGCTACTTATTGCAGCATATATATGTATATCCATAACCCCTGTCATTCATTGAATAGATTTTATTAACCCTTTTAACCACACCTAATGAGGTGTTTAATTCTGTGGATGGAAAGAAGTCTCTTAAGATGACTAATATTTTTAGGCTTTGCTACCATTTAACATACTAAGCATAACAATTTTGTTTATATTTTCTTTTTATTAATAAAACATATATACCATGTAGCAAGGCAACTGCAGTTCCCAAAGGCTGTGTCTTATCTATAGATTCCTCTCAAAAAATAGATTGATTGGTGAGGTTGGTTTAGCTTTGTAGTGTTGTAGTTTGAAGTTGAACTTTATATATTTGGATTTGTATTTTCCAAAGTTGAGATTGTAGAATTGTGATGGCTCTCAAACAGCGGCTGCTGGTATTTTCTTTATGGAGCTCACAATCACTTAATGTAAATCTGTGTGTGGATAAAGACACCGGCCTTTCATAAAATGAAATGTAGTAGTCTATTAGAAATTATATTATTCGCCCAACAAGTCGTGACCATTCAGTTTTGTATTTGTGAAGAAACCAGTCCATCTTGAACACAGATTTTTTCAATTTACTTCAGTCTTAAAGTCAAATCTGAAAGAAGCCATTTACTCTGATAATCATGTCAGCACAAGTGATTCAAGTGGAAGAAAAATGCAACAGATAGGCCATCCTCTCCCTTTAGGAGTGCCTACCTTTGATTTAAAAAGTGGAGGGTTTGCCGTTTTACAGGTGTTGGTACTGTGCCGATGCAATGCTTTGACTGAAACTGACAGGGAGGTTCTGACTTCTTAAAGCCATATTTTCTTGTTTCACACCTATATGGGGTTGCATTGCCGGTCAGCTATTGAATATGGTTGATCTGTGAATACAAATCTACCAGCCCTCATCGTACTCACCTGTACCTCCATTTGTCCAGGCCATTGATCCTGTGGCATTTTGTTGTAGAAAGTTTGTCTTACCTTTCAGATTTCTAGATAACCATTAACACTAGAAAAAAAACAAAAAACCTTGATGTACACAAATAGTCTTTTTAAATGTAATACACCCCTGAACGTACACCAAGTTTGTGAAATACTTGTCATATAGCAATGCATGTCATTTTGTCTGTGCAAACTCACACAGTAGCAGTTACACAGCTGTGGAGTTGGTCATTGAAAGCAGCATTTCCAGTCTTCTAAATGTAGTCTAAATTCTGCAGATTGAGGAAAAAATATTACTTTCCTTTGAATAGATTGAAGAAAACACCTTTTAAATTGTATCAAATTTCTGCATAGGATTAAATGTTTTACCATCAAGGTCTACAACACAAAGGCATGACTTGAGAAGCCATTGCCATCCAATAGACCTTTTGTTACTTGTCATGGCCACACACACACAATGGCTGGGTTTAATAATGAGAATTTCCAGGTGATCTGCTTGCTTTGGGCGTTTTGGTTTTAGCTCTGCAAACTGGAATTTTTGAGAGGTTCTTGTTACTTAACCAAGATCTTTGTTTGTAACAGCCTTTACTAACTGACATGTTATTTTTCTTTATGCAAAAATTTCAAGGGCTTTTGGCACTCCATCCACAGTAACCAGAAATGACCCAATTTAAGTTGTGTTGCCTTAAGAGAATAATTTAATAATTGGTGAACCAGTAGATGATGATTACTGTTCCTCTGCCCTGTTTACACCACAATTGAAATGTATGAGAATGTGTTGACTATGAAAGCCTGCAGCCTCTTTTCTGTCTTATTCAGCTGCTGGGCCTCTGTAAAGTAATGCTGCGACCTGCTGGTGCACAAATATTCCAACATTGCCGCCAGTGTGAATGTGATCTGAAGACACTACACAAGGAACAGTAGACATTCATTTTCTGGTCCATTAATCACAGCACAACCTGAATTTCTCTGCTGCAAAACCAAATTTATCATGCTCTTTTACATGTTATTGTATATACATGCAATGTGTCTACTTGCATGTATGTATCAGTATGAGACCTATGGTTATATCCATATGCTTGATCTATGGCTTAGACACTCTTACCCATTAAGAGATTTAAAATATGGTGCTATCAGACCTCATATTGGGGTGGTCACTACTCGTGACTGGTCATGCGGACTCATTCTTCATATCATATATACTTTAAGATGCTACGTGTAAGATTTTCTCTCCAGTATTTTGCTGTGAAGTGAATTATGGCGGCACACTTTGTTACACATCTTATGACTGTCACGAGCAAGTTGTAGCCCCTAGAATCTCTGTCCATTGTGGGATTTGGAATCAATTCCCTATGGGAAAAACAGAAAAGTCCTAGGAGCATACATGTCTATGGGGCTATCGAATGTACTGTTATTAGGATCTTGCAGCGACATACGGAGAGAGAAAATCCTATGTGTTACCTTTAATATCCTTGATATATGCAGATTTGTTTAACAGGTGTTTTTGTTTCAGTGCAAGTCAACACCCTGCAGGTTTGAAAGGACAAGAAGTCACACATTGACCCTCTCCCTGTTTACTCCCCACACTGTGGCCCAACCTCATGGCCTTGTTTGTTAAGATGTGAGACATGTTGTTAGCTAGATTGTAACCGTAGTAACAGCCGTTGCCTTTCCCGAAAGACTGGATGGTGTTTTTCCTCAAAGCACATCCACAGTTTTCTTCTAGCTGCTGAATTCTTTGACCTCCTCAGAAGGTCCTGTTATTGTTGAAGGAAGCACCTCATGGCGGGGACACCGTTATTATTGTTGTTTTACTCGTCATAGAGTTGCAGTACTTATGAACTGTTGAAAGCATTGATACCTCATGGGACAGTATGGGACGGCAATAGTAGTTTGTTGTAGCAGATTGAGTTTTGGTTCCATACCAGGGTTAGAGTTCAGCCTCAGCAGTTCCTGACGTGTCATTCTCATGTTTCGGGGAATGCTCGAGCTTGTGTTACCTTCGTATGTTCGACTGAACCAAAGATGCCAGCGGCCATGCCCATATGCTGCTCTTCAGGCCTGGCTTCCTGTCCTTCCAAAACCACCCTGCATATGACAAAATGTTCTGTGTTGTTTCTTTGTGTGTGATTTATTCAAATGTCTTGATTTATTGAGCAACCCGGTTATTCAATGAATTTCATTGAGTCTGTCTCTGGAGCTTTACTAGCTCCTTGGATGGTTTGTTATGGTTGCAAATGTTACTTGTTTTGTTTATTGTTATTATTTTTAATATTATTGTTGCTATAATTTACAAAAATGAAAATCCCATGGTGTGCCTCCTAGCTTTATGGGTTTCTAAATGTTTTTTTCCCTGAAGACCAGCAGTTATACTTTGTATAAAAGATGGATTTTTTTCCTTATTTTTTATGCCATTAAAGATGAAAAGCCTGTTTTCTTTACTCTGGACCCAGTAGCTGCACTGGTATACAATCGCACTGATAGAAGACTAAAAAAGAAGAATCAATAATAATGACAGATAAAATAAGAACTACAATAAACTTGTGTTGAGACTTTTATTAAAAAAAAGACAAAAACAACATTAAAAAAAAAAAAAGAAAATGACTGTTTTTGTACATCAAAATGAATTCTTTTCAAATGAATATTTTGGATCTAGTTTAAAATTATTTTAGTGGTTTTCTATGTTTTGAAATGTTTGGGACACTGACTACTAAGAAGTGTCACTGTAAAAAATGACATTTTCAGTTGCAGTGGCCCGATGGGCTGGGAGGGTTACCTGGTGTAGCTCCTTGTACCAACTTGTTTTTTTGTTTTTGTTTTTTAATTATTATTTCCATTTTGAATCTTTGATTCTCTGCTTTAATAACTTGAAAAATGTTGATGGAATAATATGAACTGGGAATTTCAAGCTCACCCCCTGTAGAGCTAGACCCTTCCTCCTTCCCTAATGAATTGCTGTTTGTGTGAGACTTGAAACGGGCATTTATAATGACGGTATGACTCCAAACTGAAACACACAACAAAAAAAGTGCAAAAGAAGAAAAAATATTTTTACCCAAAAAAAAAAGGGGGGGAGCGGGAAGAAAAATATATAGATGGGTTATTTGAGTATGTAAGCAATGGCTGTGAAGATGTAGTTTTAAACATTGTTATTACCTTTTAAAAATCATTTATTCAATAAAAATTAAAAAAATCAGTTGTAAAGCAAATCTGTTTTGGCCTTTTTTTTTTTTTTTTTTTTTTACTAAGCCTGTATTCATATTAGTACAAAGTAATAGTACACATGACCATGCTAGGTAAAGTTAGTTATGATCTCGAACACTGATTTCATTTCTGTTCTTGACTGCTATTCTAAAGGAAAAAAACAAAAAACACTTGATTCCTTCACACTGCAGATAAATCCTCTGCAAATATTCTCATGAGATTTAAGACACTGATTGTTTCACTCAGTAGACCTTGTCACATTGTATCAATAGACTGCCTATAGCTGCTATAACACACGCAACGAAGTAACAAAACGGGCCAGTGGTTATTTGTGCTGACATGAGCAACACTACGGCATTATATAGTAGGCAGTTACTTACATTTGATTGATTTGATAAGATTATTACAGTGTATCTAAAACTTTAACTTAAGTACCATAGCCTGTGTTTGATACACATAAGCTAATGACAGCAGCTACCTTAGGCTTCACCATAAACTAGTTGAAAAGTCTGAAAATAGAATAGGCAATACTCTGAAGAGGCTACCATACCATGCACACATGAACCCGATGGCCCCTGTAAACTGTGTGTGAACTAAAGTCAATGAACTCACTGCTCTCACATTCACAGAACCCACTGACTCACATGGCAACCAATGTTTTCAACCCTAGTTCATTCAGTTGTGATTGTAGTTCCTTTTTGAAAACGGTAAAAGCACAGGCAGGCTGCACACTCCGGCTTTAAAAACAAAACAGACTGAAGTGACCAAATGAGACACTTTAATGGTGAATACAGCACACATAGAAAACATCCCTTCTTTACAGTGCAATATTTGCTACAGTTATAGACATTCAGACCTATGTGAAGTACAGTTATACTTTGGAGTATTTTGCTTATAATACCTAATGAGTAGTTAATAAATGTGACTTCATGTAAATGTCACGGTTAACTTCTGTTGCACAAGTGGAGTGGATTTGGGATACCCTGTAATAATAATTCAAGTGTCTGAAATACACAAACATATTTAGATTAGGTGTTTGATACAGGCAAACAACACAGAACATTTATTCCAACACACAAACAGCTGTCTGGTCAGAGACATTAAATTCCCATTTTAGATCCTTTCACAATATGGGATCTCTTCATACACAACGTCCCCTGAATATTGTAACTGGAATGATCTGAATGAAAGATGCCACAATGCCTCTGTGTACACATGCACAGTGGAATATAGGGACACAATGAAAATATACTTTCAGTCATGGCCACATTAAACGTGAACATACATTGAAAAAAGCTATTTTAACCATGGATTAAAGATCTGTGTGCAGTTAGCAAACAGACATATGATGGCTCACATTAGCATACATTTGAAACAATTGAAATGGCAGCTTAAGCTTCTATAACATATAAACAAAGTGTAACATCAGCAGAACAGTATTGCTCCTGTCCCATTACTCACATTTACAATAACAAGTTTTGAGACTCTCAGGAAATGCTTAAAACGAGGCTTAAAAAAATTAGCAGTCTGCCTTATAATTCCTATAATGTGCATGCAAGCTTTTATGCAAGCCACCAACACAAACAGTGATGCAAACTTGCAACAAACTTCCCACAAATGGCAAAAAAAAAGTATTGTCATAAGCATAACTTAAAATCCCCTCATCCACAAACGCTTGGGCACTTAGTCGATTTTCTTGCCCCGCAACCGCACAGTGTCCAGCATGTATCTGGAGACAGAGCCTAAATGCTGAGAGAGAAAGGTCACAACCTTCCCATGAATTAGGGTCAGCAGGGTCTGGTGTCCCGTTGCCCAAATCCGATACCAGGGTCCATAGAAGGGGTCGGACACAGCTGGGCACAGCATGTTGTTCAGGTTTACCTCAGTGACCTGGAAATACACACAGACCACATGAACAGTAAATACAACAAATATTTATTTAAAAAAAACAACAACAACAACAACAACAACAAACACATCAGGAATCAAACTGAAATGAGTGAGAAAACAAACCCATGACTCACTACACTCACCAAGTCTTTGTGATAGGAAAACACAGTACACACACAATTACTGGGCTGTAATTACTTAAAGATAACAACATCTAAATTTGAATGATGAACATAATTTAATTCTGATGTGTATAATATAATGTATAATGTATAATGTCAGGAAACCAAAGACACAGTGTATAATTATTACTAAGAAGCATTGAGAAAGATGTGAAATAGACAGTGAAGTAAATTGCATTAAGATAATTGGTTTATACTGTGTTTCCTAATGAAAAAAACATGTTAACTAACTGATATTCTCAGGTCAACGATTCTGGCTTGTAGTTAAGAATGAGGAAAATTGACTAGGCATATTGCTAGATCTTTTAAGTTCTCTTTCAATCGCTATAGACTTGACTTTGAAAATATCTGTGAATATGTGTGATGTAAAGTCTCATGTATGGTCAGCAGAGGGCAGTATCGTACCAGGCCGAGGAGCTGCAGGAAGACAAAGTGGTAGAGGAAGAGGATGCCAGTGGAGAGCAAAGCCCACCACATGTCCCCCAGGGGCTCGGGCTTGTACACACCTGCAAAAACATGCACACATTCAAATCCCACGACGCACACAAGTTCAAGAGAGATCAAGTGCTATGTCTGTAGTGTAAGCTCTATTCAAGTACATACTTCTTACATTTATTCATACTATAGTATTTACTTCCCTTAATGACATTTGAATAACAGACTTTTAACCACAGGAAGAGCAAAGAAGAAGTGGTGAAACACTATTAAGAGTACAGGATTCTTAAATTTCATGCTTTCATTACAAAGATAAAGGTCTGATGGTCAATACTGATTCTGATACCGCAATGATAATTAAAACTTTCTTTTAAAAATCTTTCCCATGGTATAAAATTCTTCCCCATTGTCTAAAAACAGCATGGACTATATTGGGATCACAGAATCAAATGTTGCCACCTGTTTTATTACCACTAAAATTTTTAAGAACTGAGCAAAAGGAACTGCTCAAAGATTAAATATAATTATGCAATAAGCAACATTCATACTCCACAAAGAAATTATATAAGATAAGCTTCCACTATTCAAATTAAAATGATCTGTGTCACTTCTAGCCTCCCTGGAATATATAGGAAGCATTACAACATGTCTTTGATCATGTCGTCTCATGATCATATCTAGCTGTGATAGAGATACAGACCATTCTAAAACTATTCAGGAAAGTACAAATTAGCCCCGTTTATGCTACATTTTCAGTATCAATACTTGATTTAAATTATTATCTAGTTATGAGACTAGTCTAAGTAAGTACTAGTACTAGTTTAAGTAAATACATTTTTTGTCCATTTGACAAATTGAATTTCTCCTTTTGCCATAGTTAAGTGTTGATTACAATATGACTTTTAGTATTTTAACAACTTTACTTCTGCACCTACATACACCTTGGCCTTATATCTTAAATTACACACATGTACTCCAGTGAGGCTCTGACTTCTCTCATGTCATTTCTGGCATTTAACTTATTTTATGCTCCTTGCTTAGCCGTGACAGACTCTCCCCCATGTCCACACTATGTAGTTAAACTGCAAGCTTGCTTTCTGCTCCTCATGTCATGTGGCCAAAGGTTAAACATGGTGGAAAATAGCTTCAGGGAACGCTTTCAAATGACATGGTTTAAGTGCATATGACAGGTTAGCCTACTCTTTTCACAAAAACATCAGTAACATCAGGATATTGATTTTTCTAAACATTTTGCCTATGTTATAATTTTCCTTTGTGGACATGGAAAGCAGATGTGACACAAAAGTAGTTCATAATAGTTACTTACAGCAACCATCATGTACATAACTGAACTAAAACTACAGCTGGGCGATTTTACCTGAAAATAAAATTGGAAATTATTCTCAAAAAATTTTATTTTTGATTAGATTTTCAATCCCCAGTCCTTTCTATCCTTCAATTTCATTAATCAAATTCATAGATTTTTTTGCCCAACCTAAAAATAAACTTTAAAAAAAATAGTTTTGATTGGATGTAAACACCTTAAATAAAGGTTTAAACTGCAAGTACATGCCTTGTGCATAAATAGTTTCTGCATTTTGTCATGTAATTTTCTGTTCTGATGATGTAGGTATAAGTATTCCATTATAGCTCTTTTCTTCTCAACTTTTTTCCCCACAAAATTTCCACTGATATATAACTATAACAAAATATTTACCAAATGTACCAACCCACAAAACCAAGTAATAATCACAAAATCATGAGTCATGACTTTAAATGCTACTTTTCCACTTTTAGCCTGTTAACACTTACCTCCTTTTCGGAACAGGTACAGCGGCACCAGGTACAGCATGGAGTGTTGGATGTAATAAATCTCTTTCTCAAACGGCAGCTGAGGAGAGAACGAGGGCTTGAATTATTGATCTGTTGTGGTGTAGGGATGTCAAGAAGATTGCTCACTTAATACATTATCGTGATTATTCAGGGATCTATATAATCATGAAAACTAAAAGGTCCATCCATCCATCCATTTTCTTCCGCTTATCCAAGGTCGGGTCGCGGGGGCAATAGTCTGAGGAGGGCCTCCCAGACTTCCCTCTCCACACACACTTCCTCCAGCTCTTCCAGGGGGATCCCGAGACGTTCCCAGGCCAGCCGAGAGACATAGTCCCTCCAGCGTGTCCTGGGTCTTCCCCGTGGCCTCCTCCCAGTGGGACATGCCCAGAACACCTCCCGAGGGAGGCGCCCAGGAGGCATCCGAAACAGATGCCCGAGCCACCTCAACTGGCTCCTCTCAACATGGAGGAGCAGCGGCTCTACTGCGAGCTCCTCCTGTGTGACTGAGCTCCTCACCCTATCTCTAAGGGAGCGCCCAGCCACCCTGCGGAGGAAACTCATTTCGAGCGCTTGTATCCGCGATCTCATCCTTTTGGTCATTACCCAGAGCTCATGACCATAGGTGAGAGTAGGAACGTAGATTGACCGGTAAATCGAGAGCTTCCCCTTTCGACTCAGCTCCCTCTTCACCACAACAGTCCGATACAGCGACCGCATCACTGCCGACGCTGCACCGATCCGCCTGTCAATCTCACGCTCCATCCTCCCCTCACTCGTGAACAAGACCCCGAGATACTTGAACTCCTCCACTTGAGGCAAGAACTCTCCACCCACCCGGAGAGGGCAAGCCACCTTTTTCCGGTCGAGAACCATGGCCTCGGACTTGGAAGAGCTGATCTTCATCCCAGCCGCTTCACACTCGGCTGCAAACCGCCCCAGTGCACACTGCAGGTCCTGGTTCGATGAAGCCAACAGGACAACATCATCTGCGAACAGCAGAGATGAGATCCTGTGGTCCCCAAACCGGACCCCCTCCGACCCCTGACTGTGCATAGAAATTCTGTCCATAAACACAATGAACAGAACCGGTGACAAAGGGCAGCCCTTGCGGAGTCCAACATGCACCGGGAACAGGTCTGACTTACTGCCGGCAATGCGAACACAGCTCCTGCTCCGGTCATACAGGGACTGGACAGCCCTTAGCAAAGGCCCCATACTCCCAGAGCACCCCCCACAGGACACCACGAGGGACACGGTCGAATGCCTTCTCCAAGTTCACAAAGCACATGTGGACTGGTTGGGCAAACTCCCATGAACCCTCGAGCACCCGATGGACAGTGTAGAGCTGGTCCAGTGTTCCACGGCCAGGACGAAAACCACACTGCTCCTCCTGAATCCGAGGTTCGACTATCGACCGGATTCTCCTCTCCAGTACCCTGGCATAGACCTTATCGGGAAGGCTGAGAAGTGTGATTCCCCTGTAACTGGAACACACCCTCCGGTGCCCCTTCTTATACAGAGGGACCACCACCCCGGTTTGCCAGTCCAGAGGTACTGTCCCCAAACGCCACGCGATGTTGAAGAGGCATGTCAACCAAGACAGCCCCACAACATCCAGAGACTTAAGGTACTCAGGACGGATTTCATCCACCCCCGGAGCCTTGCCACCAAGGAGCTTGCCAACCACCTCAGTGACTTCAGCCAGGGTGATGGATGAGTCCACCTCTGAGTCTCCAGCCTCTGCTTCCTCCTCGGAAGACGTGACGGTGGGATTGAGGAGATCCTCAAAGTATTCCTTCCACCACCCGACAACATCCCCAGTTGAGGTCAACAGCTCTCCCCCCGCACTGTAAACAGTGTTGGTTAAGAACTGCTTCCCCCTCCTGAGGCGCCGGTTTGCCAGAATTTCTTTGAGGTCGTCCGATAGTCCTCCTCCATGGCCTCCCCGAACTCCTCCCAGCTCCGAGTTTTTGCCTCTGCGACCGCACGGGCTGCAGCACGCTTGGCCCGCCGGTACCCGTCAGCTGCCTCAGGAGTCCCATGAGCCAACAAGGCCCGATAGGACTCCTCCTTCAGCCTGACGGCATCCCTTACTTCCGATGTCCACCACCGGGTTCGGGGATTGCCGCCGCGACAGGCACCACAGACCTTACGCCCACAGCTACGAGCGGCCGCATTGACAATGGAGGCTGAGAACATAGCCCACTCGGAGGTGTGAGTTGAAGATCCCCCTGACACAGGGCTCTGCCAGACGTTCCCAACAGACCCTCACAATACGCTTGGGCCTGCCAGGTCCCTCCGGCTTCCTCCTCTGCCAGCGGATCCAACTCACAACCAGGTGGTGATCGGTTGACAGCTCAGCCCCTCTCTTCACCCGAGTGTCCAAGACACGCGGCCGGAGGTCAGATGACACGACGACAAAGTCGATCATCGACCTCCGACTTAGGGTGTCCTGGTGCCACGTGCACTTATGGACACCCTTGTGCTCGAACATGGTGTTCGTTATGGACAAACTGTGACTAGCACAGAAGTCCAATAACAAAACACCGCTTGGGTTCAGATCGGGGAGGCCGTTCCTCCCGATCACCCCTCTCCAAGTGTCACTGTCGTTGCCCACGTGGGCGTTGAAGTCCCCCAGTAGGACAACGGAGTCCCCAGTCGGTGCACTGTCCAGTACCCCTCCCAGGGACTCCAAGAAGGCCGGGTACTCTACACTGCTGTTCGGCCCGTAGGCCGACACCACAGTGAGAGACCTGTCCCCGACCCGAAGGCGCAGGGACATGACCCTCTCGTTCACCGGGGTGAACTCCAACACGTGGCGGCTGAGCTGTGAGGCTATAAGCAAGCCCACACCAGCTCGCCGCCGCTCCCCGTGGGCAACGCCAGAGAAATGGAGGGTCCAACCCCCTTCAAGGAGTTGGGTACCAGAGCCCAAGCTGTGTGTAGAAGTGAGCCCGACTATATCTAGCCGGTATCTCTCAACCTCCCGCACAAGCTCGGGCTCCTTCCCCCCCAGCGAGGTGACATTCCACGTCGCCACAGCCAGATGCTGTGTGTGCATCACCCATCCCCGACCGCCGCCCAGTCCTCTATGCACCCGACCCCTATGAAACCCTCTGCGGGTGGTGAGCCCACAGGAGGGTGGACCCACGTCGTCCTTTCGGGCTGAGCCCCGTGGCCCGGCCACCAGGCGCTCGCATTCGAGCCCCAACCCCAGGCCTGGCTCCAGGGTGTGGCCCCGGCTGCGCCATACCGGGCGACGTCACGGTCCTCGATATTACACTGTTCATATGGGTTCTATGAACTAAAAGGTAATCGTCTGAATTGTAGAAGCTATTTCAATTCAATCTATACTCCAAAAATATCTATCTGGTCACTTTACATTAAGCTCACATTAACTTCACTTCATCATTCAGAAAGTTTGATTTCATAAAGCTTTTGCAAACTTGAGAAATGGTAATAAGTTAGATCAGCGCTCATTCTGAGTAGCACCAGATCTAGGAATAAATCGGTTCAAATAAGACTATACCATGGCTAAGGTAAATGATGATTAACTAAAAGGAGGACAAAAAAAACACAAAAAACAGATGTGTCACTTAAAGGAGCACTGCACAACTTTTCTAGTGGAGATGTGGAAAACACGTTAATTAATCTTGTGCAAAACAGTGTAGATGTAGTGTAGTGTAGTGTAGTGAATAGAATATTTCACAGTTGTTTTCTCATTATGTCAAGAGTCGTGAATATTCTTTAAATTGTGACATTTCTTCTCACAATAATTCCAACAGTAAAATGTAATGTGGCGTCATAACAGGCGGGCTTACTGGATTTACATAGCTGTGGGGGATATAAGGCCAGTGTGTGCAGATAGGCTTGTTCCTATCAGCATAGTGCCGGCTCAAGGCTCTGATCTAGAGATATAAGGCTGACAAAGCAATCGTATAAGCTGGAGGAAGTCTGTCTGCAGTGGTCCATGTGCAGTGGTCTTTTTACAGTCAGTGAATTCATAAAGAGGAGCACTGTGACTGATCTGTAGACTCTGAGACGACTGAGGGAGGCTGCCTGTGTCTGCACATCTGACAAGCTCTGATCTGAGAAGGTGCAGTCTGGGAACATGTACTGACAAAATGGGACAAAAATGTACAGGAAATTAAAAAAAATGTGTGATAACTAGAACTAGGGCTGTGTGATTATCGCAAAATATATAATTGCCTTTTATTTTAGTCATTATTGAAAGAAATATTATTTCAAACGATTAACTTTTCCAGTACAGGGTCTGTCACCCGCTTCTCCATGGAGATGCTGCCTGAAATGGTCGACAATATGGCATTACACTAATTTATCTCTGCAGAGACAGCAGGTGACGCCATGTCAGATCTTTGGAGAGGCAAGCCCACTCACAGTAAGAATGCCAATAAAAACCCATAGTACTAAGTACTCCAGACAAAGCAACAACATCTCCATGGAGACAAGCAGATGGCAGGCCCTCCATCAGAAAAATTACACAGTACGCCTTTAAAATAACTGCACTTTAGTTAGTTCATTTAGGCTTTAAGGCTGTAAATAGTGTGGTTATTATAGAAGGTAATCAAAGTTGACTTCTATAGGAAGAGTAGAAATTTTTTGTAATTGAGATAATTGCAATCTTAATTACTAATTGGATCAATTGCACAGCCCTAACTAGAGTGTTCAAATACTTTGCCTAATAAAACTGAAAAATGCAAGTTTCATAGTTCACTGTGCTCTGGTATCATAATGGTGTCTGAAAGCGAAAAGATGTAACAAAAACTTTTTTTTTTTTTTTTTTTTTTTTTAAATGTCTTGAAACAGAAACCATAATCTTGCATCCTACTTCTTGGACATCTGGACAACTCAGACTCTAATGCATAACAAAATATGAGACTGTGCTTTTACCAGTTCAAATAGAATAGTCATATTTAATTATTAATATAACTCTGAATTTTCACTGGAAGCAGAATTGGCAAAATTCCTGGAGACATTTGAAATTGTATATCTATGAATAAACAATGTGTTGTTATTCCCCTCATCAACCATGTCTACCAGTCTCAATTTAAAATGAAAACTGAACTGAGTAAATAAAATCTTAAGACAAAGAGAAAAAAATTACAATTCTTTGACTCGTAAGACATAAATTAATTAAAACTTGATACAAAGAGCTTCCAAAACCATTAGAACAAAAACAAAGCAGAATATTTTAAACCTGGTGAATGTTTTCAATTTGGAGAGCTCACAGAAAATATCACAGCCTGTTTCAGTTTCAATTATTTTTATCTGCTTCAAATGGTTTGTCTCTTGCTCGGGTGTCAGATCATTTTGAAGCGCAACTTTAAAAGTACAGTATGTTTCTTTTCTTGTCCCCTGCATGTTTCAATGGAAATAGAAAGTTAAAACCATACTTCAGAACATTCTCCATGAAGATTGAAAAGTTTTATACAGTACTGTGGAAGATTATAACTACAGAAATAACATTTCCATGGAAACAAGCAAGAGGAGGCCCTTCTCTAGGCCACATAAGAGTCAGTTTAATGGAGATACAAGCCCACACATTGTAAGGATGAATGTTTTTCAGTGTTCTTCAGTGCAATGAACATTTAAGCAACTTTTATTTTAGTCTATTTTAGGCTATCAATAAATATTTGTAAAGATTTTTCTTCCTCTGCAAAGTAGCATGGTAACAAAAACACAGTGACTCACCAGTCTCGTGTTTACTACAGGGAACATAAGGGCCAGTAAAGCTCCATTCAACATGTGAACCTGCAGCCTGCAAAACATAAAGAAAACACCAAGATAAGATAAGCTGATCCTCCATGTTTCGATGCCATAATCAAACATAATCTTTCACCAAGAAACATTCTGATAGAATACTGTATTTTGAGCAGATGGTCACTAAGATAATGGGCAAGCAAGGGAGAGTTGTAGTATTAGAAACAACATCTGGATTTACCAATTGTTTTAGTACCACTGAGTTAGGGTGGGCCATATTATAGTAATTCAGCAGAAATATGGTACGTTTCTACTGCAAGATTGTTTTATTTTTTTGTTTCATTAATTTCTTTTTAGAGCCTTTAAAAATTATTTTAATTGATTGTACAATATAAGAATTTGCACACACTCACACACACACTGAGTTTCCATTATACTGGCTTACATTCATTCCCTCGAGACTGATCCTAACCTTAACAACAGTTACTTAACACGTATCTAACAACCTAAACCCTGACCTTAACCTATTATGACCCATATCCAAACTTTAAATCATGTTGTTCAAGTGAATGTGATAAATACGCACATATACTAGGCTCCACTTCTTGTGCTTGTAGGGCCACTAAAGACATCATTCGTCTCAACCCGGTCATTAACACTTCAGGTTGTTTATTGATATCTTGCCAATGCTACTACTAACCACTGAATAGTTACATAAATGAGAAAATCACTATGGTCAATGCTTTAAGACCACCATCTCCTGTACAGACGGTTGGGCCTTTCTCATTTCATTTCTGACCATAGACTGTATATATAAATGGACATAGCTAACCTGCTAGCTGTCGTGTTCCAAATAGGAAGTGAGCACAGTAGTACTTCTGGCTCCTTTTACTTTGTTTCTAATTGACTTTTTGTTGAGAAATTGTGACCCCTCTATAATTCCTGCTGTGAGTTTAGTAATTTTGATCTTAAAAGATACTTTATTAATCCCAAAGGAGATTCAAATTGTTCTCTACATGATCCTGGTGTTTTTATTTCACTATTTTGTCTCTAAATAAATTTCTATTTCAAACATGAACTCGGCTCCAAGATCACTCCTATAACCACTAGCATCATGAGCTTCATTTGACTGGTGCCAAATGTTATGGGTTATGTCACACTCCCTTAGTCCACTTTTTATACAGTGTATGCTTTTGACTGACTGAGTGTGTCACATTGGTTAGATTTTAGCTGCACTCCCAACTTCAGGATGGATGTTCACTTTAAGTAGCCATCACTCTAAAAGTCGTCATTTATAAAACCCAAGTGTGAACCTCCATCTATCTCATGTGACTGCTCTTTTCATCAAAGTAGACAAAATAACTGTTGTGACAACCAAGGTCATTGGGGAAACTGCAGTGCTGTAGCAGAGTCAGTTTGAATGAGGTCGACTGTCAGTCTGCTGCCCTCTAGACCTTTATCCTGAAAATCAGCCCTGCTCATTTTAATAATAATACAATAGAATATATATTAGTGGTCCTTACCTGGCACGAGTATCCTTTTAAAGGGTACAGACAGGCTGCATAGATTGTGTCATAAATTTACAATATCTTAACATCTGATCCACCTCTTACTAAAAGGGTCACTGGAGATGTTTGTTAAAAATGCACTTTATTATAAAAGCACTGCGCACCTATAACATATACTGACAGAATTATGAGATCTTAATACTATAATAAAAAACTGATGTGGTATAACATATATGCATCTCCATATAAAACACATATAAGACAAAAGGAAATCTGTTGTACATTTTTCAGTATCTTATTTTGTAGATCGACATGGCTTTCCCTTCCTCTTCATCCCTCTTTCAGTTGTCTTTGTGCAGTTATATCACCTCTATTGAGTTACTGTGTCTAACTGTTCCACATTATGGCATTAAACGTGTCAAGGCCACCAGGCCAAGTAGGTCAGATCTGTGGAGAGGCACTTACAATAAGTGCATACATGTTTTTTGTTTTTTTTTTGTTTTTTTTTGAATTTTTGAACAATAAAACACAGCACCCATAATGAAATTAATGCAAGACAGAAATGTTTAAACGTGCCATACAGTGGAACACTCCAGAAAACAATAATATCCCCAAGGAGACAAGCAGGTGGCAGACTCTCCACCAGAAAAGTTACACAAATGACTCTGTCAGCAGCACCCTTCACACCTCTGACACACAAACGTAAAATAGCGTCACAGGACAGTGTGTACCTGTGAAATGTCAGTGCATCATGTAAACTCCGCTCCCTCACCTCCTCACGTCCTTTGTCTTATGTCCCCACAGTTTTATCGAGAACAAATAATAGGCAATATATACTTTGAATATTTGACAGTGATCATTTATGCACTGTCCCAGTTTGTGTACCCATCATATCACTCCCAGTTTGTCCTCATTGCATCAGATTTTTCAACAGACTCATGAGTATCAAAGGAAAAAGAAGGGCAATTAAGCTAAAAAATATGGCCATGTTTAGACAAAGACGTCACAAATTATTTTATATCCCGAATAAATAAATTTAATTATTTTCACAGAAATGAAAAGTTAATTAGTGACCTTTATTTACTTTACTAGAGATTTAAAAAGTAAACCCCTAGCTCACCGATAACATGTCCCTACCTTAGCCTGAGTTCAGAACAACAGAGAGCTTTGATAACGCTCCAGCTTCTCCCCGTGTGACTCCCTCTGGCCCATACAGGAAGTCAAAGTCACCGTGCCTGGGCTGGACTATCTCATGCACACGCACACAGCCATTTGAAGGGAATAATTATCAGCCCTGATTGATTTCTAAACACATATTTACCATAAAGTCTAATTACAGATAAATTAATTAGAACATAACTCCCTGGACACCAAGTCTGAAGAAGTTATAATTGAATTGCATCAAAGTTTAAATCAGCACATTATATAGGAAGTGAGTCATCATTATTAGTGTATAGAAAAATAACTGTGACATGTTGCATAACTGATAGCAAGGCTCTTTTTATTATGGATAGTAAAGATTAGGCTTTCCTTCTTAACACTGATAAAAAACACTAGTGTTTCCCATAGATGCTGTTAAGATTATGGTGATGCAAATGTTTTCTATTTTAATAATTTTCTTACAAACAATTTGTGGAGTTTAAATGTCAATTAATACCTGTATTTCACATTTAAGCAGTCTTTTTGAACAGTGTAGTTACTTTTTATGTTAGAAGCAACAAAGTGAGTTTTTGTTACACCACTGTCTAGTCAATGTTCTTTTTAGATTATGGGGGAGATTTTGGGGGGATACTATAGTCTATTCTATTAAGATAAGAGGAAACTCCTACTAATACAACAACTTTTAATTTTGTTTCTAACCATCTCTATTTTAATTTACTGACATCTGCAGTTCACCCCCCTAGAGTTATTTATTTTCTTCTCACCAGTCACAATCTTATCCTAAAGTTGGACTGGGTGATATGGCAACAAAATTTTTGATCCAGTTCCTGTGACAATCTCCTATTTTGGTGATATTGTCATACAGTGATTTAATGCTTCTCTGTTTTAATGCAGCTCTATGATTGCTCATTTAAAACAAATCATTTACTGACTGTAAGAATTGTGCGATAATTTCCAAGATAATCCCAGGTTTGAATCTTGGAAAAGAGTGTCATTTCTGTGAGGAGTTTGCATGTTCTCCCTGTGTCTGCATGGGTTTCATTGTGATGACACGTTTCAACCAAAAACATGCAAAATTCTCCAACAATGGCAATCCTGACCAAGCCTTGGCTAAGCCTTGCTCAAGATCTGCACAGCGGCTGCCCACTGGTTTTACACATTCATTGTAGAAAAATGTAGCTTTTATACTGAATGACTGACTGCTAATGATTAAAGGGCTCACATTACACTATTTTCTGATCTAAGCCATAATGTTGTTTCCTCATCACAAACATACCTGGAGTTGTGTTTTGTTTCATTCACAAATGTTTAAACACACAAATCTTACATATGTAGGATTTCTCTCAAACAGAAAACACGTTATCCCACCTTGTGATGTCATGTGGTAATACAGGAAGTGCTACATTGTGTTACACCTGTCCATGCACCTTTCTTAGAATTATTTGGGTAATGTCAGCCCTGGAATTGCTTACTACTGAACCTGTCTACTGAACAAAAGTTAAAAGGTAGCTGCTGACTTAAAAACTACCACTACATGACATCGCAAGGTGGAGCACAGAATTTTGAGCTTTAGGGATGTAGACAGACTAATATCACATGTGAATGAAACAAAACACAACTCCAGGTATGTTTTCAATAAGGTAATAACATTCAAACGTGGCTTAAATCTGAGTCAATTTTGCATAATATAGGACCTTATTTGGCAAACCAAATCAAACTTACCTGAAGACAATCATTGCAGTTTTACATGGTGGACAGGCCAGAAGGAAAATCTGCAGACAGAAAAAAAGACGATACTTAATCTATTATCACATGAAGGTGGTCATTACTGAAAAGCCTCAGCACTCTGCAAGATTACACAGAAAATGCTATTACTGAAAAGGGAACAATTTGCTTTACGTTTTATGATAATGTAGCGCAGTCTTGTACAAGGAAGCAGCCTGCGGGCAACTGTAAAGTGCTTCCTAACAGGCTTATAGTTCAAAGAATCACATCAGGAAAAGGCTTCAGAGTTAAGACAGGACCCAGGAGGACTGTCACACAATCAGAGCAGCCTGTGAATGCAGAAAGAGTGAGATCCTGTTCAACATGTCCATGGATTCAAGTCTGACTTTGACAAACTGAGCCACAACACCTGGGAAAAAGCATCTGCACTTTCATCTCTTCACAACAAACAACCCGGTTTAAAGGTCCATTGTGTAACTTTTCTGGTGGAGGGCCCGTCAAATGCTTTTCTCCATGGAGATGTTATTCCTTAAATCTTTCTTTTTTTATGGAGACAAACCAGAATAGGTTGCAGGTCAGATCTGTGGAGAGGCAACCCTACTCACAGTCAGAATGCCTGTTTTTCTACGTATTTTTGAGTTACAAAACCACCTGTAATTGAATAAATATAAGGTAAAACTGTTTAATATCATACTGTGGAATATTCAAGGCAAAGCAATTTTCTTTGCCAACCCCCAACCCCCAACCAAAAAGTTACATAGTGCATCTTTAAAGCTTGTGCTGAAATCTCTAGTATGGAGATAATATTATGAGCTCGGAGCCTAATGGCTCTTTGGGATGTAGCTTGTAATGTGACATCGCATGTGTCCGTGCACTGCTCAAATACTGTACTTACCTGGGAGGCAAAGGCTGGGTGCAGAATTACTGAAAAGCAATTTACTGGGGAGTTGTTGTACAACTACCCACTGGCCCTGGCTCTCATTTCATGGATAGATGTGCTGTCAGATCTCCTGTAGTGCACTCACAACTTTAATGGTCTGTACTAGCAAACCAAACTTAAAACTGTTTTGATGATGTTAGAGGAAAATATACATGGACACCTGTATTTGGGTATTCAAACTTTAGCAAAGTAAGTTGTATTTTTAATGTAATTGATATATTTCCTGTTGTTGGTCAGTATGATCAACATCCTTAGGTTTCAAGTTGCACTTTGAATGCACTAACTTTGCAACAACAAGTCACTTTTAAGAAACATGTAACCGTACAGGTATTGGACAAGGAAATGGGTTGTGTGTGTCAATACAAAGCAAGACATTTAAGTTTCTACATTGTTTTAGTAATACAACTCTATGCCACACTTTGTGTTTAGCAAATACTGGAACAGCAAGTCAGGCAAACCCAGTGTATAAGATCTTTATCAATCTACTCAGTATTTGTCACAGTGAAATAAGACCATCTAGCTAATGTTTTATAATTTCACCATTTTGTAATTTGAGTTATTTTGTACAAAGTTTTGCTGAACTTGCAAAGAAAATAACCTTCAGTTTGGTGCTAACCTTCAGTTTAATTAGCACTGAGTGTGGACTTTAACTTTGTGACCGCACTGTCTGTCACCAGGATTTCCTCAGCAGTTTTTCATTTTTGCAAGAAGGCAAATTTGCTTCACCCTCCTGTCTACAACACAGGCATACACAATTTTTAAAACATTATTGCAAAACACTCTGTTGCCAAGTACTTCCTTTTTAGAAAATGTACTACTACAATGTAAATAACAGTATCAAACCCACACTTCTAAATCAGTTGACTCAACAGAAGTTCTCAGAACAGCAATTGTAAACTTATCACTAATGCTCAACCTGTCTAGTTGGTGTCTTTTTTGCTGTAGTGTATAGGGTAAACAATTCTGCTGAAAACAAACCTAACAGGCTTACTGTATGTTGGAAAAATAATAAATGTAAAGTCTACAGAATCTGAATTTTTTCCATCGTATTTATCAATCACAAATTTTGATTTGTCTGGTCAAAATACTTTAAAATTGGCTTTCAATATAAATTTCTTGAACATAAATACAGACTTTTAATCATTGCCATTTAACAGAAACATATGCAACACTTCCTCCAAATCACATGCTTTTATTTGCTGTAGACCTCTCAATTAAAAAGACTCAAGCTTTGATAATCAGAAATGACTGAAAATGTGATCTACAGTCCACCTGCTTCACTCAACCTAATGGTAGTTTAATACAGTAAGTACTAAGTAGTACTGGTAGTACAAATTGAAATGTTAATACCACTTGTTGAGAATTCAGAGATGCCGATAAGCGATATTTTGGAGAGATATGTAGGGCTGATTGTGATTGTTTTGGCTGATTGTGATTGTTTTTCCCAAATAATATAATATAAATTTACTACAAACTCACCCACAGCCCTTTTTTTAACCACAAACCTTTAAGAGAGCAATGCAGTCATGTTTTCAGCAGTCTTTTCACAATAAAGTGTTAAAATAAAGCTTTGTGTGTGCTCTTTAGGCAGCAGAAACAAAACAAAACAAAATACCAGAATGCTGGAGATTTAAAACCAATAGCTGATGCAGTAAAAAGTCGATATATCAGTCTGTCTATAATTAGTAGTAAATAAGAACCAAAATTTGATTATGTAACAGTTAACAGTTAACTTGCAGCATAATCCAGGACTGGATGTGACTATAAAGCAACACATTTAAACCCCAGTGCCTCTTAAATCGTCAGTGCTAGTTTGTATTGGCTACAGACCATGCCCTCATAAAGATGCAAGGAGTGCACTGGGCATGGACTGTGTGAGCCAATGTGTCTGCTCTTGATTTAAGCAAAGAACACTGATGTCTGTGTGAAACACAACAAGTCAGCAGTGAATTCACAAGGGGCAAAGACACTGGTCACAATTAGTTAGAAATTTGTTAGTAATTGTCCAAAACTAGCCATTATTTAAAATTAAATTGAGTGACAGGAAAATGTAGTGTTGAGTATGATCACCAATTTGAGCCATTTTGCCAGTTCTCTAATTAAACCTGTCAAACCTGAGTAGGGCTGGGTGATTTGTCAATAAAAAAATTGCATAGTGGTGTAATCCCTGAGACAATTTGCTCCTTTGACAATACTGTCATATTGTCATTCAGTGTTTTTCTGTTTAATGGAGCTTTATGCTCAAACAGAAACATTTTAAAACTGGTCATTCCTCTTATTGGTCAGCCTCATTTATGCTTTAAGTGAGGGACAGGTCAATTTAACCATGAATTGTGATAAAATTGGAATTGTCATCAAAGTTCCTGTCATATAAATTTTGTTGTCACTGTCAATTCTGGTCACATTATTTTGTAAAGGAATATTCCCTGCCCCAGTTAAATACCTTCAGTCCTTCAGTTCTAAGTCACTTGTTTTGGTTGCCTGGTGTGAGAGCCCCTCCCACATTCTGTAAAGTAAAAGCGTGTTTAGTCTTGGCTGGTCAGTCATTTTGGCCCTTCCTGCTTAAGCTGAAATGGGACAAACATCAACCAAAATTTGATGTAATTCACCCAGCCCCACCAAAAGCTCTATGACATGTCCTCTGGAAAGGTTTCTGTTGCTGCTTGTTGTTATATTATACAGTGTTTGCTATTAGTGTCAGTTGTGTGAAGAATCCCTCAGTCGTCCAGGTAGAATCCATGACGAGAAAAAAATTCTGTTTGTTGACAAACTGAATTTTTTCATTAGGGTCAGTTATTTCTTTAACCTGAGTCTATATATACACACAGTGAGGATCACCTTTGACCCAGTGTACTGATCATAATAAAGTCCCCAGAGAAATTAAGATGATGTTTGCAAAAAAATTAAAATTTAAAATGTATCTTCAGAGAAGTATATTCCATTGAAAGTCAAAGGCTCCACAGCCCAAGAGAGAAAGTCGGATAATCTGCTAATTACATCTGAATGCCCATCTGGTTTTATTCCGAATCACAATTCGGGACACACCCATGAGTTAGAGCGGGGCCCATGGGTGAGTCAGCGCAGGGCTACAATAACAGTAATACTGAACATTAAAACTCCCCATTTTGAGCAATCATCTTGGCTAATTCATGCACAATCCAATTTGAGTCTTTTAGCGTGGAAACCACAGGAAGAGACACACCACAAAGACTATATACATTTCCTGTAACAGCTTCTGACCCTACCTTTCAGAGAGAACTGCACTGATACATTAATACACAACTGGTCAAAAGTATAATGCAGTAAAGTCCATAGTAAAACTACATGACTTCAGAACATGTTTGTACAATATTAATATATTTTATAACCCAAGTAACTGCACCTGTTTGCATTTGGTTTTGCCATATATCTGGGTGCACCACTACTTCCTGAATCATGTATTTAAACAGTGAATGATGCCTGCTGTAGATCACATTAACAAAGGTCACACATCACCAAGGGCGTTTTCAACTATCACTGAACATATATTTGAGGGTGGGGTCTATCCATCAGCACCAAGTATGGCTAGGCTCAAATACTTCACATGTGGTATTCATCTTTCAGAGAGTTCTTATTACATTACAATGCAATAGCCCCGTGAGAGTGCAGGATAGAATCACTGCTTCCCATAGCTTTGGTTAAGACTATGGTGACAGTAATCATTTCATTTCAATAATTTTCTCTTATACTTTTTTTATTGAATAGGCTACAGTCAGATATTGTCTTAATTTAATATTAATAATAAACACTGCTGTTCTGTTAGTATAGTTAGTTATAAGTTGCATTTGCATATCAAAAGAATATGAAGCTAAGTGTGAGTTTTATTACACCATTATAGGCATATATATATATATATATATATATATATATATATATATATATATATATATATATATATATACATACAATGACTTTTCACCAGAGTAATTTTATCTATTTATTTTTTTTAAGTCTAGGTCAGATGTCAGTAATCAGGAAGGATGTTTTGTTTAGTAGAAGACTTACTGCGTAGGCTGGCTAGAAGAAAAACAAAAGAAATTAAGGCTTGGTCACCGTGTGTCATCCTTACCTGAATCATGGTCACGACATGGCAGGGGTTCAGGAGATATATGACAGTTTTGGTGGCAAATTTGAACCCCACTTCAATGCCAAAGGTCATGCACAACGCAACCAGCAACAGGTTTTTTCCTATACTGTCCTCCTTAACTTTTATGCAGTCTTTCCCGAGCACTTTCACGTCTTTGGACATATTTATTTTCTTCAACGCCAAACCAATTTCCACTAACGATATAATGACGATAAGAAGAGTCTCAGTTAGCCGCTGTTGAGGGGCAATAAAGGCGGCACACTCGGGACCCCCATTCCCCTCAAATTTAGGGTCCACTCCGCCGTATACCCAGTCCAACAGACTGTAAATATTATATCTGGACATATTCCTCTTCTCGTAGTGGAAAAGGTACGAACAAGATGGAATAAAAGACGTCACACTGACTTCTTGGCGAAACATGAACTGCAAGATTTCTCTTTCGTAACTCGTCCGGTGAAGCTAGGCAATCCACCGCCTTCTTCATGTGTTCAAGATAGCCTCAGTGATGCCAGTCTAAGATATCTCCGTTTCCAAAACACGAGGAAAATCGGGAATGCGGAAGGTGGTTTTAGGGCAGGACAAGCCTCTCTCCCCGTTAACAATTAATACCATTTGCCGTATCACTTCTAGTCTAAGTGGTTCATTCACAGCCGGTTTAGGATAATGCTGTGGTTAGCGCTAGCGTGTTAGCAACGCAGTCAACTGGACGGGCAATGTATATCCCTGGGTTTGAGCTCTCAGGCTGTAAAGTGTATGGCGGGATTATGAAATGGTCTGGAGGGTAAACTAATGAAAAAAAAAAAAAAAGTCAAATGTCAAAAAACAGCCATATTACTGTAAACATGTAAAACCTGTATTTAAAAAAAAGTAAAGCATTTCACTTCCATAGACAACATAGTGGTGGTGATACATTTTATATTGATTTTAAATAATTGTGAAGTGAATTGAATTACAATATTGCATTAGCGAATGGACGTTGTATATAAGGGATGTTGATTTTATTTTATTTTTTTTAACTATGCTGCTTGAAGGTTTAATTCGCTTTATTCCCACTGCCTGGTAGTCAAGACTTTGGGAAGAAATAAACACAAAGAGCACGTGACCCCAAGTGATTCCAGAAAGTGCAGCGTTGTTAGCATAGTGTTAGCGCGAAGTTAAAACTGAAACAGCTGTTTTTGTAGAAATGTCGAAAAGCCAAGCGCTTCGATCTTTCATAAGTGAGCGGCTGACTGTGGCGGCTGAAGAAATATTTGGGCTATTTGAAAGCACGATAGCGGAGTATGAGGAGAAACTGCGTCGCTCCTTAGAAGATAACCAGAGGAAACAGGAGCTGCTGAACTCGGTTCTGAATGATTTGAACCCGAGAGTCGTGCTGCTCAGCGCGGATACTCTGACCGTCTCAAAGACTCACACTCAGACACCACAAATTAAAGAGGAGCCAAGGGAGAATAGCATCAAGCAGGAGGAAGAGCAACTCCCAGTGCCCGCTCCAGAGTCCTTCGATGTCTGTGTGAAGATAGAAGAGTCCTCACTGCTTCAACCAGGACAAATTGAGCACAGAGAGGAAACACAGGGAGAGGACATCAACGCTGAACCACAGTTACATTCAGAGACTGAGGGAGACTCGGAAGAGCACTCCTCTGACACAGACAATGATGAAGACTGGAGTGCTCCATTTGACTGTACAGCTGCACAGATGAAGACAGATGCCGATGGCGATTACTACAACCAAGTAGACGGAGGTACACCTGCGCAGAACCTAAGGCAGTCCTCCAGACAGAGTGCTGCACCAGAGACGAGTTCCACTGTAAACAATGTAAACATTTCAAGAACAGCTGGAGGGTCTGAGAGGAAGAGACACCAGTGCTCTCTGTGTGAGAAGGGATACAGGAGGAAACGGGACTTATTGCAACATGTGAGAGTTCACACAGGAGAAAAACCATTCAGCTGTTTGACCTGCAACAAGACATTTGCCCGACGGAACAATCTCGATCAACATCTAAAAATACACACAGGAGACAAACCCTTTAGATGTTCTGTTTGTAAGAAGACATTTGGCCGAAAGGCCAATCTAAACACACATGTTAGAATACACACTGGTGAAAAACCCTACAGCTGTTCATTATGTACACAAACCTTTGCTCATATCGGTGGACTAAAATTACATTTACAAAAACACATGGGTGAAAGACCATTCAGCTGTCCAACATGTGAGAAGACATTTGCTCAAAAGAGTAATCTAAAAGCACATTTGAGAATTCACACAGGTGAAAAACCTTACACCTGTTCCATTTGTAATAAAGGATTTAGACAAAGCTGTCAGCTCACACAGCACAGAAAGACTCATAGTAGTAGTAGTAGTAGTATTAGTAGTAGTTGTAGTAATAATAGTAGTAGTGGTAGTAGTGGTAGTAGTGGTAGTAGTAGTAGTAGTAGTAGTAGTAGTAGCAGCAGCAGTAGCAGCACTGAATGTGCCTAAGGTTTTAGTGTTTGTATTTATGGCATGTTTAAAACTTTGAATTCTTTGTTAGAGTTGGCTGTTAACGATTCATAATGCACATGTTTTGACCTAGAAGCTCCTGTACCTCATTCTGAATCAGAGATACACAGGCAGCTGCTTCCACTTTTACGCTGCACTACACGATGTGAAGACAATTTTCCTGAACTTGAAGGACTGCAGCTAAAAGTTATTCTAGAGGTCGACTAGGCAGCGATTATGATTTCAGTCAGATGACTACTCAAATTATTGTTTCTATTGTACATTGTGCATGTATCTATTTTTAACCAAATAAAAGTTTCATAAAATGTAAAAATGAGGAGAAAATTCAGTTTGTTGACTGGACAAAAGTTAGTATGGTTGAAGATGTTTCGCAGCTCATCCAAGGTGCTTCTTCAGTTCTTAAGAAGCAGCTTGGATGAGCTGCGAAACATCTTCAACCAAACTAACTTTTGTCCAGTCGACAAACTGAATTTTCTCCTAATGGATTCTATCTGGACGACTGAGGATTCTTCACACAAAATTTAGAAATGTGTATATATTTTTAGGACCACCTCACAAGTGAATAGTACCACCAGTGACTGTGATCTTGTGTATGCAGTTAAAGGTGCATTATGTAACTTTTCTGGTGGAAGGTATATCACCTGCTTGTCTTCACAGACATGTTAATACTTTGCTTGGAAGTTTCCACAGTATGGGATTAAGGTTGTCATTATTGTGTATTTTCATTTATAGATGTTTCTATTACTAACATATACATGCTTTCTAATTGCGACGGGGGTCACCTGTCCACAGATCTGACCAGTAACTTGGCCTTGTGGCGTCTCCTTTTTTCCTTGGAGATTCTAAGCTTAAAGTCATACTGTGGAAAATTTCAGGCAAAGCAATAGAGACCTCTATGTAGACAAGCAGATGGCGGACCCTCCAGCTGAAAAGTTACTTAGTGCACCTCTGCACACTTCTAATGTTTAGTTTGTGCTCGTGAGGTCGAAGGGGGTTGCTCAGTTTAGTACATGTTGAGAATGTGGAGATGAGCAGAAGAAGCAACCTCCCTGCAGCACTCTGTCCAGTTCAATATGAGCGGCAATCTGGTCCCCCAGCTCTAAATCTGCTGGACCTGTCAGGACAAGATGGTCAGACAGGGGCAACTTTATAAAGTCCAGTCCCTTAGGCATGTTTGAAGAGGCCAATTAGTGGAGGATATAGAGAGAAAGTGAGGAGGAACAGCTGTGCGGAGTGGAGCAGAGCTACAGTAGACATGTTGGTGCTTGTAATGCTAAAGCAGCTCTTCTATCAAAGGTACCTCTGACTTTTTAAAGTTTACCTTTAAAGGTTGTTATGAGAATAATAAACATGCATTAGTCTTATTAAATGCTTTTAAAGATGCTGTATAATTCCAAGAATTATTCATTCATTTCATAATCTGTGGTGGTAAACTACTATTGTAACCACCACAGCCCTGGGGTAGGCTGACAGAAGCGAGGCTGCCAATCAAAGCCATCAGCCCCTCCTCTGATTTGCGAAGTTGGCATGGAATGCACAAGGATTAATAAAGATTTATTTCTGATACTAAGACAAAGGACTTCTATTGCACTAGTCTGTGTAATGTAGCCTTACTGAGCAAGATGCCCTTTGCTGGAGTTACAGATTAATAATATATATATTTTTTTCTTCCCTGTAACACATAGGCCTAATGTTTATTATTTATTTTACAGTCACCAGGGGGCGACATTGTCATTTTTCTATAAATCCAAATGAAAGCAGTGAAATCTTCCTTATATTTATTCATTTAGAACCATTTATTTATTTGAATGCATTTCAAGTCTACCTTCTCTGTGAAAATATATTATAAACAAAAAACCTAATGCAAATGTTTTGTATATGTAAGATAAGGGCCAAAAACAATATTCAAGAGAGATTGAATTAGATTTACAAACTCCCATCTAATTTAATTGCAGTTCACAGAACCATCTTAATCTCTTCATTTGGTATGACTAAGCCTTTTGTGACAGCTAAAAACTGTGACTATATTTAGTCTTGCTGTAAGGCTCAGGCTAGATGTGATCTTAATGGACATCAAAATTAAGTGTTTTTGTGAATCCAGACAGGTTTTGTGCTGCAAATATTTAGTGTGAAAATCAATGGATCTCCTGAGAGTGGGTGGCCGGTGCTGTGATATAATTTTAACTCCACTTCTCCACCTCCAAAAAGGAGTCAGTCAGGGATATTAATCTAAACATCAGTCATGCATGTACTCCTCCCCACGATAGCTGCTCACCCATGCATCTCCTGAGGTCTGTGGAGGGGGTGGGATGGGTAAGTATGCAGGGGTATCTTCTCTGAAGATGTGATGTGGGCTGACTTTAGGGAACACATATGTTAAAACCCAAACTGAAGAGGCTGCCACTACCCAAACTGAATATTCATGCCAGCTTCTGTGAATTACATTTGATCTATTTATGTCAGACTGGTCAAAGAAAAGCTTATACTACTGCTACCTGTGAGAAGCACTAGCCGATGTGAGGAGGGAAAGTGGGGCACTGCATTACAGAGTACTATGGTAATGTATCTCATCTCATTGCAGTCTAATCCTCCAGCAATAATAATACGATGCAAGTAGTGGCACAATTGGAATTCATAAGGTCCTTTTTCGTATTACCTGCAATATTCTGTATTTAATTTTCTCTCTTAACTATTTTAAAGGTCCAGATGTGCAGACTTAGATTTTGTGGTGCTGCTTTTTCACTCTCACTGGACAGCTGGTGACTCACTTGCTCCATGAGGATACTCCATAGTGACTACAGGGCATCTGAGCTTTCCACTCCACGGCTAATGTAATGTACCACATCGGTCCGTGTGCTAACTGGCACAGAAGCCTGTCAGAATAGTCAATTTGAACTCACTAATCAATTCAGTAACATGGGGTTCTCCTGTACAGGCAGGGAGATGCAATAGATTGACTATAAAATTCTAATTCATTTTCATTATTTAGCTCATACTCCATGTATATCCCCAGAGTATATTGTCATTTTTTGTATTTTTTTTTCTTGCGTGTATGTTCATAATTATCCAACAAAAACATTTCTAAATATATATAATATATACTACAAAAACATAAAAATGTATGGTCTTCTTTTAAAATCCTAAAATCATTCTACCTCCTGATTATCACATATTTATCACTATATTATGTCATAATGTTGTTACCTCATCAAAAACATACCCGGAGTTGGAGTTTTGTTTTGTTCACACATGTTTGAGAAATACTTTATTAGGTTCCATAGCTCAAAATGCTTTCTTCCACATTGTGATACTTTTTTAGTTCGGTAGAGATTGGCAGGTCTGAAATCATCCAAATGGTTCTACTGAAGGTGTAAGGAGTTTAAAAACAGAGTGGAGCACTTCCTGTATTTCCACATGAGAGCACAGAGAAGACCTCAGCCTAAATATGCAGGGCTTATGTGTTAAATATGTATGAATGAAGCACAACACAGAACACAACTCCAGGTATGTTTTTGATGAGGAAAGTATATTAGAACATAAATCAGAAAGTAACGTAATATGGACCCTTTAAACTCATTAAATTGATTGTTTCAGTAGAGCTGAGATCCTGCCCTGGCTGCAAAGATTGTACTTTAAACAATGGGGACTCTTTTACTTTGAATTTTAGAAGAACAGTGATTGCAGATAAGTGAATAAGTGAAATAAATTGTCTTTGAAAAACAAAGCCAAAAGCCTCCAGGCATATTTGAAGTGATCCTCTGATCTAGTAATTTAGACCAAGACCATTTCACTTCAGAAGAAGTCATCTTGTACATTTCATATTGCATTTGTATTGTATAAACATAGAGCCGCAAAATTATGGAAAAATATCAAATAGAGGTTTTCTGACAAGCATTGCATTTACATTAGCAATTTATGTTTTCAAAGTAGTATTATGTTCAGAGTTCACCTTTCAAACCCATCCAGGAGCATAAACCTTTGAGAAAGACTGAAATCTGAACTGCTAAACTGATAATAGGATCCTGTGTATTTCAGAAGATGTTTATAGAGGGCTTGACAACTAGGGTTAGTTTTAGTCTGCTCAAGAAATTCTGTCATAAACACTTGCAGTGTTTAAAATTTGCTAATTGCAACCATAAAATCTGCCATTTTAATTGGTCACTATATATCATGCAACTATTTTGTTACTTTTGTTGAGGTGACCAATCTGCCAATTCTGTGTAAAGAATGAGGCTCTTGGTGTTAAGGACAGGGAAATTGGAAAGGTGGAATTTACAGTCTGCTTCATTTGCTGTTAATAATACTCCCCTGTCACTGACATCCTTCAAGGTTCAAAAGCTACAAAATATGACTGACTGACTCACAGCTATGCACGAATTCATTTGCATTCCCAGTGAGTGAATACAATTTCTCATTATGCTTGGATTTCAATGTGAACCAAATCACATAGCTAAAAAACGTCAATACTGGGTCCTTATTATATCAATCAATTCTTTAAAAGCATGGAATGCTCTTGACAAACTCAAAGGTACTGTGACTGAAGCCTGAATTGATTGTGATCAGCAAACAATGCTTTCACAAGTGTCAGACTCTGTTTCTCAGTTCATCATGTGTTATAATGCATTATGAAGTTATTGTTGCCTGCAAAACATGTCTGTTATCTTCTGTTATGATGTAATTCTGACTGTTGCAGCATCTAGACTGCTGCTGTTTTCAAGGAAAGGTTTTCACATTAAGTGAAACCTGTGGTATATCTGTTTATTTTTGTGTTTGATCAAACACTGACTCACACAACAGCAACATGAAAGCACTTAATCTTTATTCACTGTAAAGAGCAGCAACTCCTGGATCAATGGATGGACATTTTATTAGTAGGCCCACGACTGGCCAGTAAAAAAGAAAGGTGGACAGAGATTTAAACAGGTGAAACATTTTATGCTGGGGGTTTTCTGACAGAAGACAGTGTAGATAACCATCAGCTCTCCACACACAAAACCTCTTGTGTTTGACTTGGTGAAAAATACACATGCTCAATTCAAGTAGGAAGAAAGCACTGTAGCCCTATTTGCATTGGTAGCATTGTAACATTTATGGCTAACAAATTACTGAGGTCATATATGGTCCTATAATGGCTCGAAGTTAGAGTCTTTATTATGTAATAATGCCATTGCATTGTTGCTTGTGAAATAAACATTAGAATCTGGGGCTTATTTTTTCGATTGGGTCTGAAGAAAGGTGGTATTTTTTAGTTTGTGTATATTTTCAATTGGCTCATGCTGTTGAAAATTCCTATACTGTGCCCTACTTTACAAGAAGGATGATCGCTGCTTGGGGGACAGCTCTATTTTACTTTTTACTGTAATCATGTTTCTCAGTTTCAGACCAGACAAAAGCACAACACTGGTGCAGCATACAAGCACAAAGCACTATACTGTACTTACAAGTGGTTTTAAGAATATCCATTTAATTTATTAGGACTTGTTTATTTATTAAAGCAAGCAAAAGCAAGCAAACAACCTCAAATTTCCATACAGGGGAAAAAGAGAGCTAGTTTTATCTAGCTAGGTGAGAAAAATCACAGCATTTTCGCTGTAAACATAATGGTAGTCTAGTGCAGCTGTAGGCGCCTTTGGGCAATTGGACTGGACAGCAGCCAAACAGAAAGAGTAACCTTCAAAGTGACCAGACAACTGCACTGCTGTAGCCTGCGCTGTCATAGGAACTTCTGGATTTTTCTGGAATTTGTGACATGAAAATAAAGGGTTTAGAGGATATTTTTGGCAGTGTTTCAGAAGGACTTTGAATATCAGCAATTTAAGCCACACATCTGTTTACATAGAGTTCCCACATTTAGGTAAAAGTATTTACCACTAAAGTACCACATATCACTGCAGTTAGTTTCTTACATACTTTATGAGTGAGACTGTTTCTTTAGCTCTAAGAGGCCCATTGTAGAAATGAGTTTAGATTTTCTCTGATCAAATTCGTTATGTAACTGACATTGATGCACAACATTAGATCTATAAAAGATGAGCTCAGGAAAACATCTACATTTAGAAATGCTATCTTGGCAGTTACATGTAGCAGCATAGTCTCTGCAGGATCACTAAACTGTGCTTTGCTGTAGGCCTTGTTTTGTGGATTTGAACTGGGAAAACTTTGAAAAAAATCATACATGTGTTGAGTGTACAGCCTCCGTAGTACAGATTTACATGTTTCGAGGTTAATATGACTAAAAAGGGCTTTGTAACTCCAAGACCAGTACAATACAACATATCCTTTTAATTCCTATTTCCATTTGCTACATCTTATACAGTAAACATACAATGGGAGTGCGGCCATAGAGTCCAGTCACTGAGCACATGAGCCAGTTCACGAGTCCTTTTCCTGGAGCTGTGTTTGCTGAAACCTTTGATCTGTCAGTGCATATAGACATGCAGTGAACAGCACTGCTCTGCTGCTAATTCACAGTCAGGGTTTGAATAGTCCACAAAGGTCCGCTCTGTTTTCTCTACTGCACAACACCAAGTGTTACAGAGCTCAATGTAAGACAGCAGAAATTATCCCATGTAAAAATAATTCACATGACATATCCATGTTCACTTAAACCGTAGGAATAATTTCACAATATCTACAAATTCACAACATAGTTACACTATTCTGTGCAGCTATCATTATTATCTTCAATACATCTTCTCATAAATACTGTTGTAATTGTCTACAACTCCGTACTCCTCAGGAGATTTGCATCATCGCTGTACATGTAATGCTGTATAAAACATAGAATATTTAATGCCGTACTTTATAGCATAAATATACTTATACTCTGGATATACTGTATTCTATTGTATGTCATGATTTTTGCTGAGGCTCATTCTGACCCTTTGATAGTGAATGATGAAAACAGCATAAAATAAACACAATACAGATAAGTAAATACAATACAGGCTTTGTACACACCTATTTGAATTATACTGTTATCAATGTAATGATCATTTTGGCCTAGCTTACCCTGATATTTGTAACAGTTCTCGGTAGTTTTTGACATAACAAGTTAACGTTCTTTTGACAAACAGCAGATAATGAGTGTGGTCATCTGAAAGTGTTTCTCTCTTTGTCCTCTACAGACCAAAGACCTGCACACTGGTGATCTTCTGCTCTTCACTTCAGTTTATGAAGAAATATAGTAAGTAAAGAATGCAATAATATACTTTCACATTTCAAACTGTAGGAGTTAGAAGAATGTATTGAAAATGCACTTTGAGTTTTAGTTATATTCTCAGATATGTTCAGAATGTCAAAAATAGCTGTGTTTATTGAAATGAAATAGCAAACACTATCAATATTACAAACAAACTTGAACATTAGTGCTGGGGGTTTGTGAGTGGGAGTGGGCGTAGCGTCATCCCAGCGGGGGTCGCACTATACTGGACCTTTGCTTGATTCTGTTTAGAGCCAAATGAGGGTAAAACACTTTCAGATGTTTGTGCCAGTCCTAAATTAGCATCACATCAAAATGCATGGCGCTTTATAGATGCATGGGGAGGCAATTCTGCTGAGTATGAGTGATGGGCCACACAAACACTGGTACTAAGCCATAGTTAGTGAGACAAGCACATGTAGTACAGATTGTCATGCATTAACCTATGACTGATACATACTTTAGTCTGCCTACAACACTCTTAGTACAATTATCTATATTGTATCTTAGTACAATTATCTATATTGCTATAGACAACAGCATGTACTGTGGGGGCTTATATCAAAATAAATTAGAGGAAAGCGTACAACTTGTTTTTCAGTGTCAAATATACAATAAATAAATAAATACATAAATATTGACTTTTAGTGCAGAAGTGTGCTTTGGAGATGTATTATGAACACTACTGATAGCAGTACACAAAATGAATTCCTGATAAATAAATATTGTAGATGTGTCCACTGATATAAAGAAAAGGCACAACAAAAAAGTAGTGCCTATCTCTTAGTAAATACAGATTAAGATTTATTTATTTGGATTTTGTGAAATTTAGAGTTTTGAGGTAATGTTAGGTTTATAAGACAACACAACATGAATGCACATAGTTCTTATGGAGTGCATGGGTCCTTTAAATCTGTTCTTTCTTTCCTACTTTTCACAGCAGATCCTTTTGCGCTAATGGGTCATTTTACACTTGGTTCCTTCACCTAAGTTCTGGAGCGTGTAGAAAGCCAGTGGACACCAGCATTTATTTACATGTTATATACAGACAGACCTTTGTGCATTGTCGTGTGTCTTATGTGTCAGAGCAGTTTCCTCATCATGTGTGTATATAGTATTCACCAAGGCACTCTCTGTCTTTAAACATACTGAGCCAGTTAAAACAATAAGAATCACTGGACCAGAAAATGTACATGCAGACTCAGGGGATGTGAAAACAATTCCAGATGAAACTGCATTTGGGCTGTAGAGGTTCAGGGAGAGATGAAGGCCTTATGATGATGATTATTAAAAGGTTCTATGGAGCCACGGAGTCCGCCCTAGGCTGTTGGAGCACAGTAAAGCTGCCATGGCTCACTGGCCTTTCGGATGCGTCAGTGTGTGTTTCTGCTGACATGTTAACAGGATGGATGCCTTATAACCCGATTGTTGCTAATGAGCTACGATGAAACGCTGAATGCATGCGTGCTCAAACTTATTACAAGTAAAGTACAAACATGTCAAAATATAACAGACACACAGTTTGACTAATTCATGAGTTGGCAAGCAATTAAAGTACAACAAATAAATAATTTGAACAATAACAAAATGGAATGTACCAGAGCCTGAAATCAAATAATAAATTCTTCACAAACAGTGTCATGAGAATGTGCTGCCTCCAGTGTCCAAAACTACACGTGAATCTACTGTAAGTGAGCATCTGCCCTCCACCTAAAATGTACGTGCAAAATCCTTAAGAAAAGAGACGTATTAAACATCCAAGCACGTGTCCTTGTACTCTCTCACGCACACACAGAGTAGGATGGGATGATGAGATGAACTTTGAACTCGGCCTCCTGCAAACCCTATGCTCTGAACCATAATACAGTTTAGATTTGGTCAGATTCCATTGGGATTGTTAGCTTTCATGATAGCTGGCTTTCTGTTGACGTATGTGGCCCAGTAGCCTAGATTGAAGACAAAGAAGAGGACGGGGAAAATGATGCGTGAGATTTTGTCCACTATGCTGACTCGGTTGTAGGATTTCTTGGCCTCTGTGTAGGGGTCATCCATGCCTCTTAGGGTTTGTTTAACCATTGGTGCAGCGGGCGCGCTTTTGGAAATGGTCGTCAATCCTTGGTCTTTGAGAGCGTAGGTTGTTCCGACAATGTTGAAAGTGTTGTTTGCTTTTTTGGTCAAAACTGCAGATTCTCTCCTCTGAAAAAAAGAAAGCAGTAAAGTAAAGGGTGTCAGGAGCTGCAGGAGTAGTCTTCACTATACTTCCATTTGAACTCATAAAGAGGAAATAGAAGCAACACCACGAGACACGACACACACAAGAACAAAACAAAAGCCTAACCATATCTTTAATCCTGGCCATGTTAGCCTGAAACGGTTCCTGAAAAGAAAAGTAGAAAAGAAAAAAAGTTTACCAGGTATATTAAATTGACCCAACTTACACACTACTATTACTACTGTCAATTCAAATCTGCATCATATACAGTACAAATATTGATTGCAGAAAAATGGTCAGGTAAAAACTCCTGACAAAAAAGTAGATTAAATGTATTGCCTGTAGTGTAGAGCCTGGCTCGTCTGGCACCTGATTTGAAACAGAGAATAACATTCACTGTAAACATGTCTGACAAACCAAGTCCATGAGAGCAGCTATAGGCCTGTGTCGGCACATAGCCTGAGACTGAACAAACAACGCAAAGGCTTTATGTGATAGCACTCCCCCCTTTCTACCAGTGAAATAATTATACTATCTCTCATGTTGTAATAGTAGGGCAGACACAATCTTATTTGCTAAATTGGTGCTTCCAGCCAAACTAGCTCCAGCAAAGGAACCTGTCAGCTTCAAACTTTTACAATGCAATGTGAGGAGGAGAACTAGGGCACCAAGATTGATCACTGGGCACAGTTTAAGTTTCTAGTGTGACATGCGGTGGGTCTCTGGTGCCATCTCCAAACCTTTAAACTGTGAGTCATATGCCCCAAAGTGCTTCACATTCACAGCCCTGTGTTGGACTTTTGTTCAGAGCCAGGCTGAATCTGCTCTTCTTGTTTAGCTTTATGCATCTTATCTCCCCTTTGTCATTTTAATTAGCCTAACATTGTCTATTCCCCCTTATGTAATGGTTTAATCTACAGTTTTCCCCACACACAGCCATGACCAAATGTTGTCTAAAATCACATCCACTCACACTGAGAAGCACATAGATTCCATGTGGCGGTGCATGTGATGAATGCCTTCAACATAAGCAGTGCTGTTTATGCATACACAGTGTTAGAATAGGCATCACAGCGGGGTTAGTGAGCAGTTATCAAGCTTTAGGTGACTTAGTGCACAAATGTGACCAGAGATATAGAGTTGTCTAAAATAATTGAAGATGGATTTCAGGATAATGTGATTCTTCATGCTTTTCTATAAAAATACCTATTTCTGTAACGTGCAAAGCTTTGCAGTATTTTATTTATTTATTTTTTATAAATAAAAGAAGACTGGGCCTGGGGCTGCCTGAGGGGCTCTGTCTTGAGTCAGTCAGAGGCAGAGTCACTGATACCCTCTGGATAACCATGCACTTTCCCAAGATAGTATTGATTTCTGCACATCTCACACCGTCTCACCTCCCCTCCACGCGACAGGCTTGTGTCAGCAGGTAAACACCAGGGTTTGTGGAATGTTTTATGTGACCTTAATTAATCCAACCTAAAGGTTTTAGATTTTTTTTTTTTTTTGGACATTATTACTCCAGGAGAATTAAAGGGACCATATTATACTATTTTCTGAACTGTTATAATGTTGAATCCTCATCAGAAACATACCTGGAGTTGTGTTTTTTTTTTTTTTTTTTTTTCACATCTTTAACACACAAACCCTGGATATTTAGGCTGAGTTTTCCACTGTATTTAAAAGTATATAGAAATGCATTAGAATCATTTGAATAACTTCAACTCTGAAATTGCCAATCTGTACTGAAAAAAGGTAAAATGTAGCTGTTAACTTGAAAACAGCTTCATGACATCACAAGGTGGAATAGAGCATTTTGAGCTTTGGAGATGTAAACACACTAACAATGCAGGCTTTCATGTGTGAAACACATGTGTGAATAAAACAAAACACAACTCCAGGTATGGTTTTGAGGAGGTAACACTCTAACATGGCTTACATCTCAGAACAGTCGATTCTGCGTAGTATAGGACCTTTAACAATTAAGCCTAAACTATGAGCTTATGAACTAATACAAGAATCACATAAATGTTTGTGGAGATCTAAACTACAGACACGACATGATTTTTTTGTGTAAAAGGCATTAAGTTTTCAGTTCATAAACAATTGCAGTCTTTGCGATTTCATACTTGAAATCTCAAATTGCTGTAAAAATTAAATTGCGATATATTGTACACCCCCCTACATGAGCGATATATTTTTTCACAAAATAGCATTAAAACTGAATCTCTCCATATAATACTGCCATAGTTTTGTTCACTATATGTGGCACATTGGATCTAATTTGACTTGAGGCACAAGTTGAGTTTTGACCTTGTGCACGTAGTTTGATGGTATGTCCCGGGGCTGTTAATGCTGCTGCTCAGAGGTCAGAGTGTGTTTTTGTGCGCGATTATCTGCCCTTTAAACCACTCCATTTTATTTATTTATAAGATTATTACTGATTTCATTATTAGAGTTGCCTTAACTAATCTACTATACCCAAGCCTATCAACAAGTCAGTGCTTTTATGTCAGTGTTTGAGCCTTGGAACTATAGTTGTATATTGTTAACTTAACGTAGCGTAACTGTCCAAGTAATTGTTTTTCGAGCAGATACAAAAATACTCTGCCTATCAATAAGAAGAATGAAGCGGTTTGTGTTTTGGCTGTAAAAATCTTTCTGATTTGATATCTACAAATCAGTACAGTCTGCTATAAGGTCAGTAGGTATCGAAACCAGATACTTAACCATACTAAAACTAGAATTGAAACTAGATACTCATTTGATCAGGTATCAATACAAAAAAAAAAAAATCACATTAGACTGGCAGAAATGAACTTTTCCTGAATAGATTTAGAATGATCTTAAGTTGTATCAGAACAAGTATAAGACCATATAGACTGACCGCTATAGAACCTATCTGCACGACAAAGAGGTAGTGCAGATATAAGGCCACATGGATATTTATATAAAAGACAGTACTGCGATTTAATGTTGAAAAAGAGATTCAGTTGTTTAAATAGTGTTTAATCATTATGGTATTGGAATCGGAGTCTATTGCTTGGTTTTGAGTTTGAAATTTTAATATCATCAACACTATCAACACTAGAGGCCAGCATTATGAAACATTGTAATTCATCAGTTTATCCCTGAATAATCTGTGTTGTTGAAACTGTTAACTTTACTGTTCTCAGTCTTTTGTCTCAGCAGATGTATCTGATTGCTGTGCAGGTGTGAATCCACATGATAATACATCTGAACCCTGCCATTCCTCTCACCAGTGAAAGCAGCACATAATATGAAGCACTGCGGTGTACAATTGTGTAACAGTGCCAAGAATACACAGCCTTTTATTCTCACCAAACTCCCTACCGACTAATTCCTGTAATAAGCACACTTTCACTGACGAGGGAAAGGCTATTTAGTTTGATCGTTCGTCAAACTGAAAAAGAATAGTGGGGGAATGGTTTGGAGACTTTATAAGCACTAAAGTAAACGCATTGACTTTGAGTTTCTGCTCCAAAGCCGAGAGTAGTCCCATTATGGCTGTGTTACATTCAAAATTACTTAGCAAATTGTAAATTCTTTGTAAAGTTTGAGTATCTCTCTTTAAAGGGGCACTATGTAACTTCCCTAGTGAGGGATCAGCCAACTGTTTGTCTACACGGAGACGGTTATTGCGTCGCCTGGAATGTTCCCACAGTATGGCATTTAATTTATCAATCTCCACGGAGACAAACAGGTGACATCCCCAAGTCAAGTTACAGGTCAATTCTGTGGAGTGGGGACCCCGCTCACACTCAGGCTGCATCTTTTTTCATGGTATTTAAGTAATAAAAACAGATGTAAGTGAATAAATGTAATACAGACAAGTATAAGTGCCTTTGCCTGATTTCAGATCATGAGTCAGGGACATGTTTTAGTTTGAACTTTTATCCACACCCATGTACTCCTTTCTGCCCCTCTGATAATGCACCAAGACACAGAAACAAATGTCTGGGAGAGTATGAGGCAGTTGTTTTTTTAAGATTCTAAGTATCACTGTACCTGATTGGATAAAAACAAGTAACCCTATCAGAAGCTTTGTTTAGTAGTCAGTACCTAAGAAAATGCTACATGAATTATACATCTATATTATATCATTTTTTCTTATGTATGTTTTCCTATTTTTTTTACATTGACTTGACTAGTCTTGACTAGAATAAATTAAACAAATAGATAGAGGCCTTTTAATGCCATACAATTGAACATTCCAGTTAAAAAAAATTATATATCCATGGAAACAATCAGGTGATGGACCCAGCATCAGAAAAGTTACATAGTGCCCCTTTAACATATGATCATGATGTTATAAAGAACAGCTGCTTTCAGTCGTTCAGTGTGAAGAAAGAGTCCAATGTTAAAGAGCTTTATGTCTCCCACAGTGACCCCATTCTATTTTATCTCTCATGACAACTGCATGCTCAGCACAGCCCTAGAAGGCAGCCCAGACTGTTGCAGTTTAGAGGCATCAAAAGAGCAAAAAAGAAAAAGCAAAGAAACGTCCCTTCACCCAGATGCAATTTATCCCAGTGAAAGTTGTTATGCTGCCATATGCAAGACTGCCAATCACACACTGTAAAGACTGAAAGGCTGTGCTCATGTTGAAGCATGTGTATGTTAGTGAAAAACAAATTCGGTGCATGGTCTGGGGCAGGAAAAGAGGTCAACTTTTTCTCATGTTGTGTTTGCCTTGATGTGTGACTGTGGCGAGGATGAACCAGCTCCAATAACCCAGTCTCATTCACCTGAGAACAGCAGGGATGACGGAGGATGTTTAAATTGGTTTCAGTGAAAAATATGGGACCCAATACCCATAAGACCCCTCCTGAAAATTTAATTTCTGTTCTTTATTGTATTTGCCATGGAGTATTAGCTCATTATAGGACTGAGAAAAATGATCTGGTTACACTTGAGTTAACAGCAATTAATTGATGTCCTTAGTGTACCTTGTGGTGCTCTGAAAACAAAATGGATGAAAATGGTGCATAATTTTAGCGCATACTCTACGTGTACATTTCCAGACTTTATGCCTTATGCAGTTGTGCGAGATTTCAGTAATTACTGTGATCACAGCCCATGTAAATCACATCACAGGTGTTCCTAAAATGGCTTCATAGTGCATCTTTATGACAGTAGCAATGAAGAAGAATCTGTTATATTTTAGATCAACAGCAAAATTGTGTTTTCGTCTGAATCTGGCCCGTATCTGGAAGGCATGAGACAAAATGTGTGATTCAGTTTTTAAAGAATGAATCATATTTGACCATCATGGACGCCTATGGCGTTTACAACTCAGGGGATATTTGGAAGTGCAGCATATTGTGTCCCCTTTTCTAAACCTGGACCTACCTTACTGTCTTCACTGTCTGAGCTTCTATAAATCACAGGGCGGCAGGCATTTTAGTTTTTATCAAAGCGACTGTCTCTTTTCTTTGTTGAGTTTTGGTGGCAGCTAAAACACCATCTGTTTTATTTGACAAGATCAGTTGTAGCATCATTGGAGTATTGGCAAACTTCCACACTGAGATTATTTTGAGAGCTTGTCAGGTCAGAATTTATTTATGCGATTTCATCAGAGTTTCCGTTTGGGGAGCCAGAGACTCCGGCAGCAACATGCCCCAATTTGAGTACTTTCTGCGTGATCAAATACACAAATGGCCCAGATGAGATATAACAATGTCATTATTAGATGAAATGCCACCATGAAGTTGCCCCACTGAAAAATATACTCCAAAATCCTGTGTATCTATCTATGTGTAGTCTCAAATCTAAAGGGGGCTGTACTTCTGTATTTTCTTTTGCCTTATTGGCCTTGTTACATTTGGCGGGTAATGAATAAATAAAGGCTAGCTGGTATCTACTTTGGGATGGGAGTGTACCCTGTCGGGAAGTAGTGAGGCTGATATCAAACTTACAGTGGGCTCTGTTTTGTTGTTACTTGTTAAGATGTTTAGTTTTAGAGAGCCAAGCCTGACCTAATAGAAGTTTGAGCATCTATCTGCTGCAGAGACACATGTCATAGTGATTTAAAAGAGCACATTGACCTGGTCTGCCCTCTGCACACTCACTGAACCAGACACTGCCCACCACTGTCTGCTGGTGACTCATATCTTCAGAACGCTGTTTTTACACAATAAACCAATCAGGTGTTTGAAGCATTTCTGATTGATAAAATAAGACAATGGCCTGTGTTGCGTGTCCTCGTGTAGATTGATATTGCAGAATAGTTGCAGAATAGTTTGAAATAGAGTGACTTACCCTGATTTCCATGCCCTCTCTTTTCCCATCCCATGCCCAGCTGCGTTTGGTGAAGTAGTTGACTGTTGCAAACTCAATCAATGCAGAGAAGACAAAGGCATAGCACACAGCCATGAACCAGTCCATGGCCGTGGCATAGGCCACTTTAGGGAGGGAGTTTCTAGCACTGATGCTCAGGGTGGTCATGGTTAGGACAGTGGTGACCCCTGAGGATAAAACCAAAGGGTCAGTACAGAGAAGAGAAGGGACAAATGTACAGGGTAGTACAAGACATATAAGAACAATAAGTCACTTCATTGTAGAGATTTTGGACACACATCTTTTTCCCTAATCAATTGTCTTGTCGAGTGAGGAAGTTGTGTAAAGAACATCAAGTCCTTCAAATCTCTACAATAAAAATATGACAACAGATGTATACATTTACAATCAGAAAATTCACGAACAGTGGTAAAAAGACCATTTGACAAATTTCATGCAGAGCTATAGAGGACAGTGAACACCTGGATAACAACACAGATATCAAAGAACGAGTGACAAAGCCCCAATGGCCCAAATTAATTATTCTGAAAATGATTCTCTCAGGAATGAATGCCAAAATGTCCAAGCTCATTACGCTCTGCAGCCCTCATACTCAGTCAGTGTACACAGAAGGGATACTCCGGCCCAACTGAGCATATAAAAGCAATCACCTTATATGTCAATACGTCCCATAAAGGGGAAAATACATCCAGTACATTTTTATTTTGCTGTAGAAGCACAAGGTTGACTCATTGGTGAAGGTCAGCGATTAAGACAAAGACGGATGGAGTCTATTTCCTTTCTTTGTGACACTATAGATTTCTTTTGTGTGAGACATTATGCCCAACAGATAAAATGAAAATTTGGTTCATCCAAGATATATTTAGAAAAGAGCAGAAAATCTGAGGCCACAGAGCTGAGCTGATTCTATCAGAGTACTTGAATTTGTCACTACTCATTTATTAGTAATTTTTCTTTGTCTGAAGTTGGGACTTATTAAAAGGAGATGTGTTTGTGTGATAGGGTGGCTTTTATAAATAATATTTTCTATTCATGCTTAGAGTGTTTTTTTTTCCTCTAACAAACTGACTTGGATAAAAGATTGTTCAGTTTGCACATCTGAGAATTTTGTTAAATGCTTTTGATTTTATTCTGAAGTTTGAGCTTGTTATTATGTAGATAGCAGTTTATCCAATGCCCTTTCGTCTGCATGTGTGCTTCCTTTCCTATTCTTAATGCTAATTATTGCACAGGCATCAATACTCGGGGGTCAGGGGTCACAGTGTAACTTATGCAGCAAAACAAAAACTAAAGACGAGCAGGAAGGACACATCACGTTTTATCTTTTAGTGAAGCTGATCTAAGCAGACATGTTCTTAGCATGAAGTGTGCGCAGGTGAATAAATTACATAGAGCCATAATAATGCGTTTCCACATTATTATATTCACTGTACAGAGGCTACTCAAGTGCATCACTGAACGTGACAAACATAGACCATCATGGGCAGTGTACCGCTTACCTGCTCTAAATATTTTCCATTACCATTTCCATTTAGCAGTAAAAGCCTGGATAGGTTAAACTGTGTTCGGCAACAGGGGCACCTCTCTGGAGGACTGTTGGGGGGATTTACTGAGATCTACAGTGAGATCTCAATTGCTTACCATTTTAGGATTAAATATAAGAATATAAATACTATGAATTGGTCAAGGAAGAAGGTATGTCTTCAGTTTTGGAAATGCACTCAAATTCCACATTTTGTCATTAAATGTATGATAATTTTTCAGTGGTATTTACGGTTTGTGCAGCTTAACAAACACCAAGCTTTTGTATATGAATCAGACAATCATGTTTTCACTTTTCTGCTCTCACACCACCATTTTAGAGTCCAGTATTTGACTTGCATTTAACTGAGTGTCCCTGTTGAATGAATTATTGAGTATGTTAGGGTTGAATAAGGGCATAGTTTAGCACTCACCAAATACAGTCCGTGCCGGAACTGACTCCCTGTTTAGCCAGAAGGAGACCTGAGACAGTATGACAGTCATGATGCACGGGAGGTAGGTCTGAATCACAAAATAGCCAATTTTCCTTTTCAAATGGAAATATGTTGTCATCACTACATATTCTCCTGGGAAAGACAGAGAGAGAGAGAGAGAGAAAGATCATTATTAATGGAGCTGTTCTCAGTTGTAAATAATAAAAAGAACCTTAAAGGTACACTATCTAACTTTTTTGGTGGAGAGCCACCTGCTTGAAACAATGCAAATTTTTTTGATTTGCCTGAAATGTTCTAGCCAGGCTGGTGCCACCTAGTTTCTCCACTAAAATTACATTTTTCTCCAGTGACTAGGTCAGGAATCAGAATACACTAGATGGTTTACAAGAACCCCAGAAGTTGTAGAACACACACTGGCCAATCAGCAAAGAGCTGTGAAGCCATGACGTCAAACTCAAGCACCTGTCTGGGTCCCTTTTTGTGGTACCGCACAACCGTAAACAAAGCGGTTGAGATGGATGCAGAGGAAGCCATACATTCTGTGCTAACAATGATTCCTGAGATCAAGAATTTAAAGCCAGAACAAAGAGAATGTTTGGTGATTTTAACAAGGGGAAAGACGTTATTGCCCTTCTTCCTACGGGATTTGGGAAAAGCTTAATATACCAGTTGGCCCCGTTAGCGGCGCATTACATACGTCACGACCAAATAGCAATGATTGGTTAAATAAAAAAGTACCCCCCTACTGTCAAGTGAACAAATCCTAATGCTGTGACGGTCAGACGGTTTCCACAAAGTGAAACCGTCTGATGAATCACGCTAGCAATGTTCCGCAGTATGGCATTAACCTTAGCTATCTCCATGCAGACAAGTAGAAGGCACCACCTGGCCATGTTGAGGATCTGTGGAGAGATATGCTCGCTGACAGTAAGAATGCATGTTTTTAAAGGTATTTTTATTAACAAAGATACCAGTAATTGGATAAATCAAGATGGATGAAATCTAATGCAATACTCTGAAGCATACAAGGGAAGGTAATCAATTCTCCATGGAGTCAAACAGGTGGCAGACCAGAAACGTAACATAAAAATATATCCATTCTTTTAACCAGAGACAGGTACATTGATTCTGCTTGGGAGCATGATGTGAACTGTGGAGTTATATCGCCTTTATTGTCATGTGTCTTGGGCTTTTTGTAAGGAGTATTTTTAGCCTAAAAATGTGAATATTTTTTATAACTTTGGCTCAGGCAGAATTACTAGTCCAATATATCTGCCGTTTGATTTGATCCCTCTTTGCTATTCCCCCTGTATCATTGGGGGCACTTGATATTGAAGTCCTCCCTGCATAGATCTGGCCAGTGACGCTAGCACAATGACATAGTTCAGAGCCTGCAGCGGCTACTCTCATTGCCATGCCTGTAATCTGTGTAGCTCTGATATGAGAAAACAGCGCCTCAGTCCCGGAGGTGTTGTTTTGCTGAGCAGATTCTAACTCGAGCTGAACTGGCTCAAAGCGGCCTCCCTCTGCTCTCTTTAAACCCCATCACGTTTAGGATAAAAATGAGATTCTCCTGAAGTCCAACCCAGACGACTGTTATGAAAGGTTACATCTGGGCTCCCATGTGAAGGTTCAGCTGGTGCACAGACTTTAGTTGGACTTGTTCTTTTGAAGCTCTGACTTAAGGTCTGCTACACAAGCTCCACAATATTAAAGATCAAAACAAACTAATCTCCATGGAGATTTGAGTGTGTAATTATTTTAACAGCTGATCTTGTCGCCATTTTTCTTCCAAAGATGTCTAGTTAGGTTGTCCAAAAAAATGTATAACCAGATACTAATCAATACTAAAAATAACAGTGAAACTAGATATTCATTTGTATATATAGTGAGCCTTTTCATTTGTATCAAAATTGAATTGGAATATTAGTATTGTCACAACTCTAACTGTCTAGCAGACAGATCAGTGTTTCTTGTTTTAATTATATTGTTGTCCAAAATGTCCAAAATATAAAACTTAGTGTGACTTCTGCAGCTGAACCCAGACCACTGTTATGAAAGGTTACATCTGGGCCCCTGTGTGACGGTTGGTGCACAGACTTTAGTTGAGCTTGTTCTTTTGAAGCTCTGACATAAGGTCTGCTCCACAAAGCACCACAACAATAAAAATCAAAACAAAATCATCTCCATGGAGATTGGTGTGCAGTTATTTCAACAGCTGTTCTTGCCACTTTTTGCTTTGTTTACTTCCTTCTGTTCAGTTGTGCAAATGACTGAAAGGATTTCATCTGCATTTTAAAATAATGTTTTTTATTTGTTATGTTCTCATTTCTTTGTATTATGATTTTCTGATTCTGTCGCGCACTTTGAGTTATTTTATGTAAGAACTGTGCTCCACAACTTGCCTTAATAAAGCTAATGCTGTGTTGAAGTGTAAGTGTTAGATACTAATCAATATTTAAACTAGTATTGAAACTATATATTCATTTGACCAAGTAATGATTTTCAGTAACATTGTCTCACACTCCAAGTACCCCCTAACTTGGCTACAGGGCAAATAATTTAAAAAAGAATATATATTATACATTGCTGTACAGTAGTTATTTTGAAATCTTAAACCATTTCAAGTAACCCTACCCTCTTGCAAGTACCCCAGGTTGAGAAAAAACAACACAAAATTAATAAAAGTTAAAGAAAAAATACACAGTGAGCCTTAAAATATTATTATTATTATTTAATATATATTCTTCCAGCTTTCATTTATTGAACAAGGTCTGCGGTGTTTCCTGTTGTTACTGCACTCTTTCAAACAGCTACAGTGAAAAGCATAGGCCCCAGTGGGGGAATATCAGCACTTTGATTTGATTAAGAGTGACAGATAAAAGCTTTCTAGAGTTATCTGTCAGCGGGGGTGTTTACAATCACATATAAATAACTAATAATCAAGGTTACTGTTATGTAATTCAGTATTTATCAAAGGTGCACGATGTTTGCCTAGCAAATCCAGAGTGATATCCCTCTGTATTTTTTATACAGATTGATATCAGTCTTGTCCTCACGCCCTCTGCTGCGTCTCAAACTCGATCAGATGTGATCATGCAATCAGATTTGTTTTTTTCAATGACACATCTGAAACTAAGGAACTCATTGGTCACCTTTTCTTTATAAATATTATTGATCTCACCTCAGATTAACTGAGTTTAATTCTTTGCTCATTGATTCTGCAGAAATCCACAATGTTTTTCAGCCCCCTGAGATACTACTTGTCTTTATTTTTGCTGAAACTACATTCTATGCATGTCCCCTGATTGGCTAATCCACTTGTCAGTCATGCCCATTTGAAAATGGGGAAATTCACTGGGGACCAGACTCACATCTTCGTAAAGTAATGAAGTCTGTATTCTGCATCCCAGGGAAGCACTATGCAATTCTGAAGGAGGGTCTGCCACCTGCACTTAATGCTTAATGCTTTGAGTGTAATGTTTCACAATATGTCATTAAACTCATCAATCTTGTATCTATTCAATTGTGTCTCTCAAAAATACCCAGAAAAACATGCATGACTACCATGAGCAGAGTTGCCTCTCCACAGATCTGGCCTACTAATATCACCTGCTTGTGGTACAGTACTGTAATTTAAGTACAGATCTAACTATTGATCTCAGTTGTAACATTCAAATCAAAAGAGAATTAATTGAAATGACACAGACTTTAGACATGGATGGAAAATTTTGTAAAAAACATTCTTAAAGAATTGATATTTTTGCATAGAATAACACTGTGATGCTCACTGAAATGCTGTGTATTTTGTGTAGTACCTGTGCTAGAGCTGATGGTCTCTTTGCCAATGACATGTCCCAGTAAATCGTACTGGTTTAGTCTGGAACCGTCCTCTGCCACGGCCACAGACCTCTCATCCCCCTGAGTCCACAAGTAAATCACCTCATTGTTTGTATAAGCATCTGAAAAGTCACAAATCATGAAATGAATTTATCCTTTCATTGCAAATTATAGCCTGTGTCAAAATAATTCTTAATTCCCTGCATATAAGCAACCTTCTGAGTTTGTTTTATGATTTTAATAAGTTAGTCGATGTCCCTAAATTATGAATGATGTGTGTAATGGTTGGATGAAATTTGGAGATCATATCAGATACATACATCGCAATACACAAGTTATGATATACCTATTTACTCTGATACTACAAAAGAAGAGAATAAATGGCTTTGACCACCAGTTACTCTGTTATTAAATGTAAATGCTACATTAAATATATCAGTAGCATATTTGGGTAACTCTTGATATCCAAATAAGATCACTGTGTGCTCTCTCTGTATAATAATAATAAAGCATTTTATAGTCCACAAAACCTATTAGTGTGCTAGTTGTTGTTAGCATTACCATGATGACCACTGAAAATTGTGAAAACGCTACTCATTGTGGTGAATAATTAGAAAGAAATGTATTAAGAATGAGCTTGACTGTTGTAAACAAATGAAGCAGCTTTGATTTTCTTATTTTTAAGACACAGCAGTACAGCTCCTTCAGTTTATTTGCGTGAACAGCTTTAATTGGTTATTTTGTAAGTGATTTAATCCATCGCTTTGGGGATGGTATCAGTGGCACATATCTGTTATCCTGTTTGCTGTTTTAAATGCTAAATAGTAGTTCTGCTTTAGTGACAGACCTTTTGTGCAATGTGTGGTAATTATTACAGTTTTAATTTCCAGAATACAGTCTAGCAGGTGCCAGGGCTTATTGAGTAGGACAGTGTTTATGTGTAATCCTTCAGTGGTCCGAAAGAAAAAAAATGATTCAATTCTGCCAACTGGACAAAGGTTTTTGAGTGAAGATGTTTTACAGCTCATCCAAGCAGCTTCTTCAGTTCTGGTCAGATTGCAGGTGGACAGTGTCTTATATCTGCCTGAAACTGAAACTAACCCACTTACTTTTTTACAGTATGTTTGTTAGCTAAGTCTATCGAACTACAGCTAGTATTTGTGTTTTATTCAGTCTTATTGGTTTTACTTACAACTCCCAAACTTGAGTGGACAGGCATGTGCATCCATCGGGAAATCCTCCAGGTGCATGGGGCACTCGGCATGAATGGTGAGTCTGAATAACAGAGAGATCAGGTAACTGCAATGATCAGATAACCCAATTAGATCACATTTTGGGTGTTTGTTTACATGCCCATGAGAAATCTGAAAAGCCGGGTCAGTTGAATAATTGATTTTTAAAGAGATATTATTTTGCTTTAATTTGTGTCTTTGCCCCATTAGTTCCTCCTTTGCATAATATTACTTGTCAAAACCTGTGCAGGTGTGAACAGTCAGAAAGAAACCAGATTACTCACTCAGATACAACTATTTACATAATATTTCAATAATCAACTTCAGAAATCAGATAATGATCAGATGTTTGGTGTGCATGTAAACATAGACACTATTAAGAAATCATAACTGTGAGAGGCCTTCTCTTCATAAGAAATACATTTTAGAAATACAATTAGGCCTGAAGAGGAGCCATTCTTTTTGAATCCAGAAGGGACTCTGAAATGGGGAAGACATCTCTTCTCCAAAATGTTCATATAATTGTGAACCAGATATATAACTGCTTATACCTCAGATAAATAGTAGTTTAGTGTTTTGATTGTTGATCTCTCCTTTATGTTGTTTTTTCCCCTCCTTTTTATGTGTAAGCAGCCATGTTTGTTTTTGACCTGAACTGACCATGCATCTCTCTGATTAGTTAATCTGCCTGTCAATCATGCCCTCTCAAATACGGGAAGGGAGATATGGCAGTAGATCCACTCGGCTTTGTAAAGTTTTGTCAAAGCGTGTGGTTCTGGCTGTTCAGGTAAAATATTTTGAGCAAAAACATCTACTTGTGATTCAGAAATATATAACTGTACTTAAAAAAAAATAGTTCAAGTAATTTGTTATCTGTATGCATTCAAATTATGATTTCAGTTTGGTTGTGATCAATCTTGCAGCTCTAATCTCTACCTAAACCCATAGACTGCATAAAGACGTGGACTAAGGGAGTGTGATGTCACCCATAATGTTGGGCTCCAGTCAAATAAAGCTCATAAGGCTAGCAGTTATAGGAGAGAATTTGGAGCAGAGTTGCATAATAAGAACAGGAACTTATTTACAGACAGAATAGTGAAACACCAGGATAATGCAGACCAGGTTAATACGAACATTGTAGCAGTTACAGAGAGAGGGGCAACGTTTTTCAATGTGAAGTAAATTGAAGCCGTTGGAACCATGCTCACTACTGTCCATTTATTCATGCATAAACCCTAGCCTCAAAGTGCACTGCTTCTAGCTCTCATACCCCTCGAAATGCAGCTGGCCTGTCGACCTGTGCATAAGACCGCCCCTGTTTCTCAGATTCATGTTTATGCATTGAGCAAAGTCATGATCAATAAGAACGGTGCATGTAGTGTTGTGTGCCCGGTCTGACTGTGTTGTAAGAGTGGAGGTTATAGATTTGGACTAATTGGTGGCACATTTGGGACATGAGCTGGTCCCCTGGTGCTGCACTACGGCTGCCTACTGTTTCACGAGGCTCTGAATATCGACTCTTGTGTTTAAATATGGTCCCATGTCTATCTGAAATGAATGAATTAATGTACTGGCACCCTTTCTCTGTCAATCATGAGAAAGAAAGGCCTTCAGAAAATTTTAAAGGTTCTATCTTACACAAAATTGACTCTCGTGAGCAGCCATGTTCGAGACCAATCCATGAGTTGTAACTTTAAAACTATATATTGCATGCAAATGTAACTGGATGTGTTATAATGTTGTTTCCTCATCAAAAACATTTACCTGGAGTTGTGTTTAGTTTCATTCACACGTTTAACACACAAACCCTGCATATTTAGACAGAATTATTCTCTCAAACTGAAAACTGTTCCATCCTGATGCCATGTGGTAATGCAAGAAGTGCTCAAAGTACTTTTTCAATTGACGCATTTAGTAAAGCAATTTAAAGGACTTTGTGGAGTGAGGAGGTGGTAATAATCAGTGCGTATTCGTGTGTATTTTTCACATTTTCTGTCTCTGGCGCAGCTTGAATACTGTTAAATGCTCCAATCTCCACATTAATTAATTATTTGAAGTTAAATTGTACATCATAAACTAAATACAGAAATTAAATTGGGAAAATCTCTGTCATATTGTAACTGAACTCCAATATAAAGTTAATGAAATCTCAAAATAAATTGGTTTTGCAGTGGCACTTAACAATTCAAAACAAATCATTTTCTTTTAACTCTTCAAAAAGGCATCCATAATGAGAAAAGTATTAGGCCCCATGAATACAATGTCTTTTCACATATTTTTTTCATTTTAGCCAAGACTCTATTATGTTTTACTTCAAATCATTACATGACATTTGAGTACAGTCTTTTTAATAGTTGAACATCTCTTCACCGTAGCTCTGAACAGGAGGTTGTAGTAGTTGTAAACTCATATTTGAATAATCCTGAGGGCTGTGATTGTCCTAATTAAGAAGAAATACTTCCGCCATTATTCTTCACCTGAGAATGAAGATGGTCTTTTTCTCATTGCTTTAATTTTAATGTGAGAAAAGGTGGAGAGTGGCTCATGTGACAGTAGTTTGTCTAGCAGGGACCAAACTGCTGCAGCTTTGTCACACCCAGCAGCTCCCAATGTTTCTTGGTTCTTGTTTAAAAACAAGTTCAGAATAGAAGACTTTGGAGCATTTGTCAGTTCAGACTCTGTTTATGAGCTGATTAAATACCCACACCTGCCAATCATTGAGAAGAGAAGAACCGTATACACCGCACTCAGAAAAAAAGTTATGTTTAAAGTACTGGGCAACTTTTCTGGTGGAAGTTGCTTGTCTGGAAATGTTATAGCTTTGCCTTTAATGTTCCATAGTGGCATTAAAAGTATATATCTTTCAGTTATTCCATTGGAGGTGTTTAATGCACAAAAATCCCTTGAAAAACATGCTTTTATAGTGTGAGAGTGGTTGCCTCTCCACAGATCTGTAACTACATCCTGATGTTTAATGCCTGTGGAACATGCATGGCAAAGCAATGACATCTCCATGGAGACAAGCAGGTAATAGACCCTCCACCAGAAAAGTTGCATAGTGCAGAGTCCTCTAAACTTGGGAGTTATCAAACAATGTGTTGTTTTTATCCTTAATAATGTCATACAAACATATAAATAACTAGAAGCATTGGCTGGTATAATGTAAACATGAATGGTCCTTGTGGTCATTAGTGTGCGAGCGTGATTCTCCTCGAGCCTTGGCAGAATTGCTACTGCACTGAGTCTACTCATGTGGGACCACAAAATGGAATTCTCTTACCATTTCATGTAAGCCCTTTGGAAATCAATATGACCTCATGGCAGAGCATGGTAAGAATCATTTTTATACGCTGTCTCAGGGCAACTTTAAGCCTTACACATAAAACAGCACAAAAGGATTTTCAATTTTCTTTTCATTTTTAAAAAATGTTTGATTTGATCCATTTAGGTCATCATTTTTACTGTTCGTGACTTGATTTCAATCTGCTTAAGTTAGGGCAGAGTTGATAAGCTCCTTACTGTTATGATAACATATTTTGAGGTACAACATATTGCTACACAAAATATCACAATAAAAGATAACATTCAAGCTACATTAAGCTTACAAAATACTATACAATAACCCTAAAGCAGGAGTCATAGAAGTTACATCATTTCACTCTATGCAGTATCTTACTACAAAAACACAAAGAAATGGGTACACATGATAAATATTGCGTCAAAAAAAGGTCTTTCCACCATACATTGAACTGAATGATCTTTTTCATTTCTGCCTGAATTAAAAGGTGCATTGTGTAACTTTTCTGCTTGTCTCATGATGCCTGGGATGCTCGTATTGCCTGGGATGTTCCACGGTATGGCATTAAACAAACATGTTTTGTATTTAGTCATTCACAGCTGCTTTTATTTCTCAAAATTACTGCACAGGCACGCATTCTTATTGTGAGCAGGCCCACTTCTCCACAGATGTGACCTGCAGCCTGGTGATGTGGCCTGCTTGTCTTCATGAAGACATTTAAAAGAAATGCCATACAGCAGAATATTCTAGGAAAAACAATAACATCTACACCCTGTACCAGAAAAGTTACATAGCGCACCTTGAACAACTCCACTTAAACAATACATATTTTCTAACCTCATGGTGTAGAGCAGAGTGCCGTTGTCCACTAGGCGGAGCAGTTTGTTTGGCGTGGTCATGTTGTGGGCCACAGACTTTTTGCCATTGTGGAAGAAGGTGTCTGGGGTCCAGATCTTACTGGCCAGCAGGTTGTTCAGAGGCAGGATCTGCATGGGCCCGTCAAACTTGAGCCTCTCGTCTCTCCAGCTCTGCCTAAAGAACACATCGATGGTGTACTCCTGAGGGACACAGAGGGACACAGAGGAGCAAGGTGAGAAAATCAGTGACATTTACACTCTAGTGCACAAGACTCTAGGGAGTCTTTATTTAGATATTCCACTGTTGCCCAATAGGAGACTAGGGCGGAGGCCTATACTCTCCTTTTTGCCCCCATACTCTAAAAACATGCTGATTGGGGGTCCATTCTCTGCTTGTTTCTATAGAAATGTCATTGCTATGCCTGGAATTTTCCACAGGCAGTTCTACCTTACATTTATCAAATTACAGGTGGTTTTATAGCTCAAAAATACCTATAAAAAACAGCCATTCTGGTTGTGGTCTAGTTTGGTCTCCATGAAGACAGAAAGGTTTAATCCCATAAGCAATAACATCTCTATGGACAAAAGCATTTGACGGACTCCCCATCCAAATAGTTACACAATGCACCTTTAATATGAAATTAGTCCTTTTTGATCAGCATGAGACAATATGTGGAATGTTCTGGTATTCTCCATAAATTGTATAAAATAAAATATGATTCATATGGATCGCTTGTGCGCCCACAGTCTCAGTATAAACTTGTGGGGATATGTGGGTAGGGCTGGCCATAAGGTGAAAAAAATGAAACTGTGATTTCATCCATCTGTTATTTTGGTTGTAATGTCAAATTGTGAATCACTGTTTTTGTTTAGTGTGGCTCTATGCACAAACACAGACACTTTCCCCACCCACTCCTTATGGTCATCCTCCCTAAAGCTCTGAGTGACAGGTGGAATTAACCAATCACAATAAAGTATGAACTCTCAGCCCATGACTTTGTGTACCACTAAAAGGCTCTAGGTTAAGGGATAGGTTAACACTTTTTTGTCCTCATTAGGCAATTTGCTCTCTTCAGTTGACCCATCCTTCAATGCTACTAGGGTAACCTGTCAGAAGCAGTGACCACTATTGCAAGAATTTATCTACTGCAGTATAAAAATTAAAGTGCAAATAAATAGATTATGATGATTTTTTCCCCATTCACAATACTATCTGTTATCAAGTTTACTTTATATTATTTAATACAAATGGGTGGCAGCTAAAATTAATATTGAAAATACAACGCTTTGTTAAAATATGCCTAGGGTTACGGATAGAAATGATCAGGTTTATCATTTGTTATTTGTTATTTCTCATGAGAATACCATATAATCAATATAATCTTGCCACCCTTCTGGGAGAATGACAACATCACTAAAATTTGAAAACCACCAACAATTAAATATTTTGTCTACCTCTATTTTCACCCCAATTTATCAAAGCTGTTTCGTAAAGACCAGAACCAAGGCTGAAGATCCAGTTTCATTCCTTGTTTCGTAGCAACAGCCCCAGTTTATCCTGTGCATATTGTGGCTTTGCCTTGATGTGAAACTCGCATAGGAAAAAGCTGTTTGCGTCTAGCAGCCCACATTATTGGTAATCAATGAAAGCTACGCCAGATGTGCACTCCGATGGTGAGCGAGTGGGTCCTTCTACTGTACCTCACCTTTGTGTTTCCCCCGATGGAACGCACAAAAAATAGATGAAGTCATTTCTCAGCGGCGGTAACAACAGGAAGCCTGGCGGGTGTACAACATTCGCTCAACACATCAAGTGCGGCACTCCCAAACTAGCACTAGAGGGGGGTCCAGTGATTGATGCCATTGACCTGCTGATGGCCTGAAAACGCACATTACTACGAAACAATTACACTGCATCTGTCCTTTTAATAAAGCCCGGAGAGAGCCATGCCAAAAGAAACAGCACAACACAATGACAACAAGCTTCACTGTTTGTGGTTTATGTGCGTATGCCCACCTTAAGGAGTTTTCCTATGTGTCATTAATCTCCACCAGCCTGCTTAAATCAATACATATTTTGTACTGTTTCCAAAAATACACTCACGCCAGTTGTCAACAGAAATATTAACATTAAAGTAGTGAAAAGAAAGAAAAGAAAAGTAAATAAATAGATAAAAAGTGTGACAGTAGCAGTAGTAGTCTTTGTTCTCTGATCGAAAGGTTGATGGTTCGAATCCCTCTCTTGACATAAACATCATTGGTCCAGCAGTCAAGTGCACGGACCCACAGGTTGGCGGTGCCATTTCAGTTCCCACAGATGAATGCTGTCATTGTGTCCTTGGGCAAGACACTTAATCTTAACCTTTACTTGATGTAAAGAGCTTGAGTGTCTTAAAGGTGGAAAAAAATATATAAAAAAAGTGACCGTGTGACTAAAAATAGTAGGGATGGTTGATTTATAAAAAAAAAAAAAAAAAAAAAAAAAAAAAGATAACAATTTACTTAGGCTTATGTAGGATAAAACCATCTGCTGTTTCTGAAAGTTCATTGTGATTGGTTGAATCCAATTGTCACTCACTCAAAGTCCAACAGAGGCTGACCAATGGGTGGGGAAAAACATTTTTGAGCAAAGAGCTGAATTAAAAAGCAGTAATATGTGAAAGTATTTTCAAGGAGATAAAGTTACACTTTGAATTTTTAGGACACCATCATCTAGCTCTTTACTTCAGAGACAATGTGAACGCAGCCTCCCAATAGTTGTTTTATTGGAGAGATACAGGAGTGCAAGCATTTGGCCTTACAGCAGTCTTTTTCACTACATGAATATTTAATGTGTTTAAAGGTGTTTTACCACTACTATATAAGCCTAAGTGAATGAATCTTTGACAGAACTAATGTTATCCAATAGCAGGGCTCGCCACAATTACATTACCATTTCAACAAAGCAGAACCAAGGTCACGAGAATGACGTGTGAAGCCTCAGTTTGAGCGCTTAGACACGGACCATATGGTGATTTATTGTAGCGTGTCCTATTTGCCTTTGACTAAAAGTTTCCATTTGTCTCAAAGCATTTACAAGCATCAGCTCTAGTAGTATTTCAAAAGTGCACTCTTTCTCTTCTGCTCTCCAATCAATCAAACTTTATTTGTCTTCACCTTATTCTGGAAGTTGGCGTGGGTCCCTCCATCTCGATTCAGGTTGTATTGATACTTTGCAACTCATGTCTTCAACATTTCCTGGGTGGTGAAGCTAACATGAGGCACTGCTCTGTCTGATATTCTGATACTCAAGTTACACTTTAATCTGATCTTTGTTTTAACTCAATGTGACAATAAAGAACTGACTTAGCTAACTACATCATGTGAGCTGATTTTTTTGTTGAAAATCAAAACACCTTAACAGGACCATGGGCACTTGTACTGATCACACGCTCCTGAAAATTAGTTGTTTAAATGCATTTTGTGTCTGTGCTCTGTGCATTGTGTCTCCATGGTAACTGTTGAACGCTCTGCCATAGACAAACATGCAGTCCACCCCCAGCATGATGTCACTGCAAAGTATCAATAATTTTGCATGGGGCTGCCAATCTTAACAGCAAATAAGTTCTGGACTATAAAGCTGGTTTAAAGCCACCCCGAGAATTGTTGCAAAAGTAACAATTAAACCAAAGTGCTTTCCAGAAATGTATTGAAATATCAAAAAACAAATACATTATTATTATTTTCATACAATAATAATTATACATAACACTTGTATATTGCTTTGACAAAGACACGTCAAACAGTATACAAAAAAAGAAAAAGAAAAAAATTAACAGTGCCAAATCACATCCCAATCAGTGTAAAATGCCAGCAACAAATAAACACTTGGCCTAGTTGTCAGCAGCCATCATTTATATGATTGCTTTTAACAGGAATCTCTAATAAAAACGTCAATATTAATTTAAAGATTGAAAGGCCAGAGTGAGGGAAAGTACAGTCTACTGTGCACAAGGCCAAAGGCACAGACTGATGCAGAGCCAGCTGGTCCTCCTCCAAAGGTTGTGATTGATTTCTTCTTGACGGAGGCTATGGGCTGTAGCATTTGCCCATCACTGCTGTTTAAAATGAATATAAAAAAAACTATAGCTATAACCGCAATTACTTTTTACTATATAGACTTGCACATGTTCCAGCGATACAGTAAGTCATAGTAGTTGGCTTGTTTCCATTTTCAACAGATGCAATTGGAGCAAGCTTTACTTTTGCCCTAAAAATAAGCAGGTTTTTGTATCATGACAAATTTCAGTTTCTAAACTCCAATGTGGTTTTATTATTATCAATGAAAATGTAAGCGTAGTTCTAAAAATATTGATTACTATGAAAATGTGAATGTTTCATTGCAGTATAAGTGTGTTAATTTGTGTGTTAGCGCAGGGTTTTAAGTTTAGATAACTATTATTCTTTTCCTTTTCTATTAGGCTAGAGTGGTTCTCAAAGTTTTCACACCAAGTACCACTTAATAAAATATTTTACCTTCTGAGTACCAACAGATCTGAAACAGAACTATTATAAAAATGACTGCACAATTTCTATACCAGTTCAAGCAAGGACTAGCTAAAAAAATGTATTAAATTGTCACCAAATGTACCAAACCTTTAAAATAGACCCCGGGCACCACCAACGGTACATAAACCACAGTTTGAAACCCACTCAGTTAGAACAAAGCGTACAGATAATTACCAACTAGAAATTCATCACTCCATTCTGTTTAATTGACGGCTGACAAAATGAGGGACAATACTTGGGACACTAAGTAAACCCATTTACAGCCTGAATGAAGAGAAGAGGGGCTATAAAACGGAATGAGCCTATCTCCATTGGCAGTGTGAGGCTTGGCAAACTCTGAGTGACTATTGGAGGACAGGGAGTAGGACAAACCAGCAGGGCGATGGACTCAGACAGTAATGAGATCAAATGGACTGAGTGTCTGATAGGACAGTTTAAGGTAGGATGTACAGTAGACTGCGCTAAATTAGACCAGACATGAAAAATGAGCTTGCACCGCCGCTCTGCTTACTAGGAATGTTATCTGAAGTCTGATAGAATATTAATGAAACCTTTTATCTAGAATTAAAAGCATAGAACCTAATTTTTTACTGTCTTCAAATCAAGAAAAACAGAGACTTTTTGTAGTTTGGGGAGGTTATTGGTAATTTTTG